ACTTATAATAGAGTCACAAAACACCCCGATGTCTGAAAATCCTTTTGATGATGCTTATAATCAAGTTGAAGATTAAGATAACGATGTTCAGGAAATGAAGAATCGATTAGTTTGGGATTTAACCTTTGCATTAAAGCGCAATTTATGTTCCCAGAATAACAACAATTGAGTTTATTATATCAAAACTTGATGAAGAAAATCCCCAGCAAAGTCAAATGGATTTCATTCATAATGCGTCATCTTCTTAATTATATTTGATTTATAAATACTTATTTTCGTGATATGATACAAATTTTTATTATTAAATGAGATATTAAGGGTTGACCGACGTCCATTCAATTTTTGAGAGGGCATTCAAAATTTATTGATATTAAGTATCAAATATCTCGTTATCTATAATTTTTTAAAACATGGTTGTTTCAGATAATGTTTTACCTTAATGAGATGTATGCAACGAGAATGAATTTTCGGTCACAATATTGTTCTATAAAAATTTCAAAATTTTCGATTTTTCTTTCGATTGGAAAAAATTTTTATGGATAAATTTTTTACAGAAATACTATGGAATTTTTAGATAAAAACAGTGACATATCATGCATTATTGTACCCTTGATATAATGCAACAGATAAATCAGAAAAATAATGAGGTCGAAAAAACTCAAAAACGTTGACCGACCTCTTTTTATCAAAACACCGCTACACATCATAGATCATTTTGCAACAGCGCTCCTCCGCGGATTCGACATATTTAATAAATTAGCAAAAAAAGTATAAATCGTACTATTCGAATAGCACAATAGAAAGAATGAATATTAACAATTGTGTTTTTGATGATTAAAGGTTTGAAAAAGATAGTTTGAAAATAAATTTTTTTGTTTTGATTTTTTTCTATAAAAATTTTCTTTATTTTTAAAAAACTCCTCCATTTTGGAATGTTGCTAGAATTACAAACGGCAAAAAGAATTAATTATTGCTGAATATATATTTATTCCGTTCCAAATTGAAGTGTTTTGCAAAATGAGAATAATATCCCAAAGTTTTTTTGTATTAATCTTATAATCAAAATATTGATTCCTAACACCATATATCCATGTGTAACAGATTTTATAGAATAGTAATTCAAGCTGAATTATTCAGATATTGAAATCTGATCAATATCTAATACAGATGGTATATTCAAATAGTTGTTTAAAAATGAATAGCTTCTTTGTATAAAAATGAATATTTTGTCACAAACTTTATATCATTCCCATTATATTTATTTCAGTAAAATTTATTGGCACTATATACAATTTTGGAAAATTGAATATCATTTTATTACATATGTACTAATTTAATAAATGATCAAATTGCCAAAATCTTGAAATCGATTTCTAAAGTTGCTCAAAAATCGGAATACGTACAATTAATAATATCTTCATATGATGTTATTTGATTTGGTATACGAATTTTTTTCGCCGACATACCTTCCTGAAAAGATACGAACGATTTCGTTAATTTTTAAAAATTTGACATTGTTTATCTTAGCAAATGAATGTTAATTCTATTTTTGTAGAAATTATCATCAAAAAACTGTTTTGTAAAATTCGATTTCAATTGGAAAAAAGTAAAAAAAGAAATATGCATCAGAAATGAACCAAGTTTAGTTGGTGTCTAAATATTTGCTAGCATTGATTTTAACAACTGAGTTATAATATCGAAGCTGATGCGCGAGAATTTCAGATATTTAATGATTCACCATCCAGTTTCCATTCTTTGTATAAAAATAGGAGATTAAAATTTTCATTAATACTCCTAGTAATTTAAAAATAATAAAAATTCTTTTGATTTTTCAACATAATGGAAAAAAATATTAAAAATAATCGAACAAATTAGTAAACAAGACATTTATTTCACAATATTTCTCAATATTTATAACGCTTACTGCGAGAATTCTAGTCAATGTATTTCATTCTTGGGAATAAAATAAATAAATTTGGTATTTTAATAGTTTGAAGCAACTATATTTAAAGAGGTTGCACAGGTGTTTTGCAGACAAGAAATAATAATCGCATGGGATTTGTAAATTTTAATTATATGAAATTGATTTAGACAATCGCGGTTAACAATAGAACAGTCTGCAAAAAAATAGTATGGAAATCATTAACAATATGCAAAATCTAGAATGGATTGATGTTTATTGTAAATTTTATTCAATTCCGGTAAATTTTGGAATTTTACGTGCTAAAATATATTGCAATCTAGGATTTGTAGTATTTGATACTAAAATAACGAATATTTTTGCTTGTTTTCTCGCATAATTTTAATATGATTGTAAAAAATTATGAGTTACGATCCTGAAAATCAATAATTTAACACCTCTCGACGAACCATTTTAAATGGACACAAGTCAATTTTTTTGAGTTTTCGAGGGTATTTTACCAAGGCTGAAAATGAAAAAATCGGGAGGATTACGTCCTCTCAATTTAGGTCGGTCAACCCTTAAAATTAATTATTAGTTAGTATGTTTTCTCAAATGAAAAAAAAATATTAGGGTTCCTTATTCTATGTTACCTGGGAGCATGAAAAATCTCAAAAACATAACAAACATCATCCTCAATTGATTTTTTGATTAATAAAGTGGCTAAACAATATACAAAGTTGGAGGGAAATAATTACTCTAAACAAATGCACAATAAATATTTGTGACAGGGAAAGTTGGGGAAATATTCTCAGAATCCATAATTTCAAAGGTATCCTTGGTTTGGGAAAATTTTTTTTTCACAAACTTTCATTTATATGAATGTTCTAAAAATAAAGCGTATTTACCAGCCTGTAGAAGAATCAGATGGGTATCGTGTGCTCGTAGACCGTCTTTGGCCTCGTAGAGTCAAAAAGGAAGCTGCAAAACTTGATGAATGGAAATAAGATGTAACACCATCAACTGAGATTCGCAAAATGTTCAATCATGAGGAAGAAAAGATTGATGAGTTCAAAAAGTTGTATGTAGATGAACTTAATAAAAATTCAAAAGCTGGTGAATTTGCTTTCAAAATTAGAGATATTCTGAAAAATTCCAGCGTGACCTTTTTGTATGCTGCGCGTAATGAAAATTGTAATCATGCAATGATTCTTCAAGAATGGGTTGAAGAACATATCAAATAAAATGTGATATATCTTTAATATTTTTAAAACTCAGTCAATGTATTATATCAGAATTATCATCCATATGTGTTAAGGACTTTGCGAATGAATGAATTTTAAAAATATTCGAAATTAACTTAACAAAGATGTTTATAGAAATAATTCTAATATCCGCATGATACATTATAGATATAAGGAAGATCGGAGTATTTTTAGTCAATTTTTAAAATATTTTTAATTCAATCCATGTAAACTATACAAATGTATTTAATTTTTTCAATAAAAAAGGAATAAATATTAAAAAAAATTATTTATTTCTACTCAAAAGAATCTTTTGTTTAAAATATTTCAAAGTTTATGACATTGTGGATTTTGTGTCAGAAAGTACTCAATTTTCCTCTTTAATCAATCACTACAATTTTCATTTAATATTGAAAACTCACACAATAAATCAATATCGAACACAAAGACTAGGTGTTTCTATATCTTTACTCATCACAATCATGTTATTATATTAGAATTGCAATAAAAACATTTATATACTTGAAGCCAAATGGTAAATAGAATATATTTTTTGAATAAATTGGAATGTGACATTTTTCATCAAAAGGATTCTTGATATGGAATTTTCCGCAATCAATAAAAATTCCCTTTGAATTTGAAGCTTTCATTTCGATTTCAATGATTTTCTTATCAGCATTAAAATTCATAATATTTCTAGGGATATTTAGATAAAACTTAACACCTTTGAATGAAGTACAACGATTGAGACATGTTAAGTTGAATGTGATTATATCACTGCTATCAAATGGAAATAGTAAATATTTTAGATATGCACAATTGTAGAAAGAATTTGAGTCAATGATCATATTGCCTCTTAATTTGTTGAATTTTATAGTTTCCAACTGTGCACAGTTAGTAAAACTTTCACTTTCAATCATTTGCAAGTCCAAATAAAATTCGATGCTGTTCCCATTATATCTTTCGAAAACACCAGATTTTACTACTCTAAGTTTTTCTGGCATTTTAATAGCCGAAGTACAACCCTGAAATAAGTTATAATTTGGTGTTTCTAACATGTCATTTTGAAAAATGATTGATTTACAATAGCACTCATAGAAAGCGTCTCTATTAATAGTTGTAATTTCTTTTGGTATCACCAAATCATTATTAGTTCTATATCCTCTGAAAGCTTGACTTTCAATAGTATGACAATTAGAATTGAATGTAAAATTATTTTGATAATAACTTGGAACCCAATACAAAGAATCTAAATTAAAACCATATATACAATTATCAAACACCCTCAGATGAAGATTTCTAGGATATATTGTTATGGTAAGATTATCCATGAGGTTAAAAGCTCCATAATAGATCATGCAATTTCGAGGAATGAAAATATTTTTCACTGGTGTGAGTTGGGCAACGGTATAACCAATAAAAGCCAAAAGGCTGTTTTCTGATATAATTATGTTTTCAAAAGACTTACAAAGGCAAAATGGACCATCTATAACTTCATTTTCACTGTGACGGAATAGTAATATTTTTAAGATTAGAGCCATAAAAGGCAGCAGAATCAATACTTAATAAGTCTCCATTCATTGGAAGAAAAATCTGATTTATATTGGAAAAAATATATGCTCTAGATTCCTACAATTAGCGAATAATGAGCCACCAAGATAACAATGGCTCAAAAATGTTACATTAATCAAATTAGTACTGTAATTAAAGGCGATATCATCAATCCTTACAATATTTTCTGGAATTGTAATCGTGATAATTTTGGATTTGGAAAAGCAATATGTCTCTAATGTATTAACAAAATTTGGAATATTAAAAGTTTCAGTAGATTTGTTAGAAATAAAAAATAAAACACTTTAATTTGCTGAATAAATAATGTTGTTTTCCACATATAAATATTGATTTAGGGGATGAACTGAAATATTTGTTATTTCACAGCCATCGAATGCTTGTCCATGAACTCTAGATACATTCTCTGGTATTTGAAACGAAGAAGGTATTTTGCAACTTGAAAATACCATACTATCTAAACCAATCATAAAAGTTATATTTTCTAGTCTACGTAAGCCATCAAATACAACAGAGTTCATGGTTTTAACAGTTGCTGGAATTGTTATAAATTTTACTAAATAGTTATTATAAAAAGTGCAAATTCCTATCTCTGAAAGTCCATTTGGGAAAAGAATTTCAGTAACTTTCTCGCATTGATAAAATGCATAATTATCAATTGTTGTTAGCTTGCTACAGATTGATAAATTGACTATAGTTAGATTTGAACATTCTTTAAAACTAGAATATCCAATAGTTGTTAAATTAGGATTATCTTCAAATGTAAAAGAAGATAAAGATTTTAATTTGGAAAAGCAGTAGCTTTGAATTATTTCGCATTTAGCTGATATTTTAAGATATTGTGATGTATCATTGACTTTAATGAGTGTTTTTCCATCTTCTGAATTACAACTTGGATCAATTTCTTTATAGAGAAGAAATAATAAGAAACGCATAACGTACTATTTCTAGATACTTTAAGTATTATATTTATTATAGAAAGGAAGTGTTAAAGCTACATATATCGCAAGAATTGAATGAGAAAGTGATGATTTTGCCATAAAGGAGAATAATTTCTTAGTTGCAGGCAACTTGGTACTAAAAGTTAAAGTTTTTGGGGTAATTTCTGATATTTCTTTAAAACTAAAAATTTCAGATTTAGAAATGAATTGAATGGAGTCAAACTGAATAGATAAGCATAGAATAGTTTCCTTTCTTGCTATGTTGTTGTTGAAATGGCTCTAATAGTTATGTAATGTTCAGAAAGAAAAATACGCCCTTATTTTGTACAATTTTACACCTATTGATGCAAAACATAATAATATGCAGATTTATGAGGTCATTAAATTGCATTTAGATGTTTCGTGTGACTTTTTTTTTGGAAAGAAAAAAAATTGAGACCAGAGCAAAAATCTTATTATCGGAATCAATTCAATTTATATTTAAATGCATATGCATTTAATGCCATATTCAATAAAATTGCTTAAAATTTTGTGCTCTGGATAGACAAATTTTTTCTCAAATGACTTCGAAGTTAAATAAAAGGAAAGTTGTAACTTTTCAGCTTGTTCATCGTAGTGTAGAAGATCCTTTGAATGCTGACCCAAACGCTCCGGAGCAAGTTCTTGTTCCAATTCATATTGGTGAAGATGTTGATCCGGAATTGGTCGAACAACTTCAAAAACAAATGACACCAGAAGCGCGCAAACAGCAACAAAAGAAGCCAAAAACCGAACGTAAAGGAATTGGTGCAAGATACAACAAATTTTTCGGCGAAGATTTACCAGATGATGGCGAAGATTACTCACAATACTTCAAAGCAATTGATGAAGAGAATGATGATGGTGTATTCGTCGCTCCTGATGGATCAGTTCACGATTTACGCAAACGCGAAGTTGAAGATGTTGATATTCTCGTTGATAAACTCGGTATTACTAACGATATGTTCGGTACAAAAGAAGATCCAAATCTTCCAAAGCTTGTTAATGATACAGACAATCCACTTGCCGCTGGAATTGATCCAGAATTATTAATGGCTCTTGATGATGATGACGCTCCACCATTTGAAGATGACTTTGTTTCTAAGCTCCTCGATGCCGAGCTCAACGAAGAGGAAGACGAAGAAGACGATGGAGAAACATTTACAGATAGAACAGCAGATGGCCGCGAAATCAAGAAGACAATCAGCCGTGTCTCTGCTACAGCTTCTCATATGTCCCACATTTCACACAGAAGCCATGCCATGGATTTACAAGAAAAGAGAGTTGATTACTTCGTAAAAACACTTTTCGAGGAAGAAGAAGATGCTTTTGCACTTGAAGAAGATAACCTCGAGCCAGCTCAAGTTGACTGGGCTGATATTGCTGCAGATATGCAGACTTTTGAAGGACAAATTAAATTAAATCCTGTTAAGCCATCACCAGAAACATGCAGAGAGGTAACACCATCTACAGAACAGGCTGGAGAGGAAGAAGAAGAGATGGAAGAAGAGGAAGAAAGAAGAGATTTATACAAATTGGATATCAGATCTGTTGCTGAAAATGCTTCAACAACAAACAACTTACCAGCACAAATTAGAGATGGAAACAGAAAGAAGAAGTCCAATAAGAAGAAACAGGAAGAAGAGGAAGAGGTTGAAGCCCCATTACCGCCAGAATTCGCTCCAAAACCAGGAGAAACAAAGGAAGAGGCCAAAGCAAGAAAGAAAGCAATCAAAGAATACCAGAGACAGAAGAGAATGTTGAAGAAAGAGAGAAAGGTGAAATTCTCAAAGGCTACAAACAAAGTCAGAAAGTCTATTGCTGCAAATGGAGCTACTCGTGGTACAAGAGTTTATAATCTTGACTAAGCTGCTTCTTTGTTAATTCTGAAATTATTATAAAAAAAATAAAGTTTTTCTTATACAATTTTAATGGGTTTGTATCTTTTTATTTGTCATTTTGTGGGATTTTAACGTAATTAATATAATAATCTTTGTTATTAAAAGACTAATTAGCCCAATAAGCTAAAATTATTGAAGCATAAGCCGAATCCCGCACTTTTAGGGAGGAACGATGATTTTAAATATAATTAGAGACACGTTGTCTTTTCGATAAACTAAAATAAACTTAATTCTGCCAGCCAAATAATCAAATGAGTTTGAAGGTATCTGGTTTATTAATTAAAAAAACATAAATACGATATACACATCAGCATTCTGGTATGTCCGTTTAGTTCTACCCCTCATAAACCATAAAACTTCCAAAATTCAGATTTAATTGTCGAAAAAGAGAATATGATTTGTGAAAAAAATTAAAGGGTTGAGTGTAAAAGTATAATTATTGCTGTTAACAACCATTGTTGCAAAATTCAATTGAAAATCTATAAAAAAATTTTGAATAACTGATTATATAAAATCAAGAGTTCATTCGTATTTAAGTAAATTTGCGTTTAATATCGTATTTTATTTTCCGATTGAGAAATCAGAAAAATTCTTGAAAATCAAAAACTCTCAATTTTTTTAACCGCCAAATTTAAATATGTTAGTGGTAATAGAATGATGAACAATAATTAAATCTTCTATTTATTTTTTCACAAAAATAATCTCAAATTTTGAAAAGTAGTAAACTTAGTCAATTTATAAGTTTGAAATGTCGATAAAAGAAGAGGACGTTTCGTTATTCACAGCTACAGAACAAACAACAACGGATGCAAAACCAGCGCAATATACTGGAGTTCTTGCCACAAGCATTAATCTTTTGAACTCCACTCTTGGTGCAAGTATTTTGACAATAGCCAATTCATTTACATTCTGCGGCTTAATTCCATCGATTTCTATACTTGCTGTATCAGCATGCGTATCTTATGTATCAGCTAGTGCCATTGTAAAATTTCACACCATAACTGACATCGATTCTTTCGCTAAGATTTCTCAGGTTGGACTTGGAAAATTAGGACAATACGTCACAGATATTTCGATTATGTTATACTGCTATAGCTGCATGACAGGTTACGTCGTAATGGGAGCAGAAATTATTCAGTCGTGGTTCGCAATCTTTCACGTTAATTTATACAATGCACGCTGGAAACGTTATGTAACTGTTCTATGCTATCATTTCTTTGTGCTTTTCATGTTAACTCTCCCAAGAAATATGAATTTCCTAAGTTCAACATCTATTTTCTGTTTCATAGGTCTTATGCTATACTTCTCAGGCATGATTTACAAGGGTGTCACAATCTTGCCAAAAGAAGGCATAAATCCATCGGTTGAAACAGGAACGTTCGATTTAAGGATTTTCAACACACTTTCCATCAACGTTCTTTGCTATTCTCTTTCAGGTATCGTTATACCTGTCATCAGAGTCATGGCTCCTTCACTTCACTTAAGAAACGTTGCATGCGCTATTTCTTACTTCTTCTCTTTCCATATAGTGTTTATTCCAGCAGTCATTGGTTACTTACTCTTTGGTGCTGGTACTCCAACTCTCATTCTCAACGCTTTCGACGATCATGATCATTTATTCATCATTGTCAGAATTGCATGCTTCGTTATTATGATTACTAGCTACCCAATGATGGGTCTTTCCCTCAAAAGAATGTATTCACATTACTTCTACGGAACAGATGATCAACATCTTCTTCCTCTTAAGAAGAGAATCATCTGTCTCGCATGCGAAAACCTTCCTCCACTTCTAATTGGCTTGTTCCTTCCAAATGCAAGACCTGCTCTTGCTATTGGAGGTGCAATTGGTGGTGGAATGACAAATCTTTTCTTACCTCCATTATTATACATCAAGATCATGAACAAGAACAGAAAACAGTTTGTTTATTGGCTCATGATCATTTTTGCTATAATTGGTTTATTCCTTGTCGGAATTGCTACATTTGAAGCCGTTGTGGATGCAATTCACTTCTTCAAGAAGGCGCATTCATCTTAATCATAGTAATCTTATTTTAAATAAATACTACTATTCCCTAATTATGTTTTTATTTAAATTTTCAGATATTTAAAGGAGTTACAGCATTTCATTATAAAAATCTGAAATAGATGTATCTGAAACTAATGACTTCTACTTTATTTCATCAGTAGCATTTCGGATTAAAAATTAATTTTACCGTTTTTTTATTTCTTATCCAACTTGATAATAAAATCAAGAAAGGCTAGTATGCTACGCATGTATCAGAATGCAAATGGAATAAGATGTTTCTATGAGATTTCCCTTGATCGGAAATACAGGGTATGCGATAAGCTCTGGGCACTCTAATAATAATTAGGTTGCTCATCATAATATCGAGAAATTTTGTAGTTCACTCACAAGAATTATACTTAAAAATAAATAAAATTACATTATTTTATAAGATATTGAAGCAATCATGGCATTGTATAATTTACTAGTTTGATATGTGTTGAATTATTTTCATAATAGACAGATTGTTTTCAATTAATTTCAAAAATATATTTTAAAAAATATAAAATTTACAATAATTACAAGAAAATCTTTAATTTTATAACAATGTATGAATTACTCTTGGTAAACTGGTAAATAAGAATCAGGCATTTGGAATACGTTGATAATTCTTCTGTTATCGCAAGAAATGACCTTTAATTCATCGCCATCATACCAGTGTGCATCTTGGATGTATCCAATATGGCCTTGATGTGTTCTAGTAACGGTTAATCTACCATAACCCCAAGATCTCAAATTTGCAAAGACAATATCAGTATCACTTGCAATTAGAGCTGTTCCTGGTTTCGAGCGGCAGAACTCTACTGCCGAAATTGGGCAATATGAGATTTGTTGTGTAACTATCGCTTTTTGATCAGCTAATGAGAATAAATCTATAGATCCATTCTGGTAACCAATAATAATACCTGATTTATCATTAGGCATCCAGCTGAGAGCTCCGATTCCGCCTTGCATTGGGATTGAAGCGACACGTCCTGGGCAACGCAAGTCAATCAATTGAAGATTCATTCCTGTAACTAGAGCGTATGGTTCTGTTGGGTGTGGGAATACCTTTCCTTCACCGGGTATCATATTACTCGTTGAGATACATTCGAATTTTCCTACGTCATAGAGTTTGAGACAGCCTGAGACATCGTATGTAAGAAACTTTGTATCGGTTGTCCAGGCTAAGCTCGTTTTCAGTGGTGGTACTGGGATATTATCAACAGTAAGTTTATTTGCGTTTAAGACTGAGAGATCGGTTCCGTTTGAAACCAGAAATATTTCTTTTGCTGTTTTGTTTTGAGAGATTGAATTGATTTGGTTTTGGAAATGTTTCTCGAAAATATCGAGTGTATCAGAAAAATCTTCGTTAATTTGAATAATACGAAAATCATTATCTGAAACTGCATAAAAGGTATTGAGGTCGCTCATAAATCCGACATTTTTCACGTCATAATCTGTACGCTTGACCATTTGAAAATTGTATGAATTATGAGCTGTCATTCTACCATCCACATATCTGTCGAATGCATCACATGCATTTTGGCTGACAATCATAGCCATACTTTGAGGTAATGGAACATGTGCATACATTTTTTGAAAAAATATCCCCAATTTATTTTAGGCAGCCCCAGTTTTAATTATAAGTTATCACTAAGTAGTTTGATAATACATTAGATACACTTAATACCGATCATTTTACAAAATAAACCAGGGTATTGTTTTGTCCACATGGTATATCTGACATTCCCCACTTGAAATGTTTAATACTTAAATAGTTTTAAAGGGAAAACTCCTATTTTAATATCCTCCTTGAATGCTGATATCCATAAGAGCCAGTTCAAGCAATTTCTACAGAGCTTTTGTTTCGAAATTCAACCACAACCACTAGCAAAGATAACTCGTTCAAGTATATCAATAACCTATAATGTTCTTTACACATTTTCCCAGCGCAACAAAAGAATATTCAAAATCTTTAATGAAGAGAGAGATAACCATTTTTGAATACAAATTTCAAAATTCAAAGGTCGCGAATCAACTAAAAATGTTTTATATTGAGTCGTGCGATAAAATATTAATATTTAAATAATATCCATGAAGAATCTTCATTTCTCTCAAGCAATGAAAAAAGAAAAAAGAGCTAGTGGAGGGACTCGAACCCGAAACTCCAAGTTTAAGAGTCTATTATATCCGGTTGAGCTACACAGGCTTTACGTTTCTTTAAATTTTATTTTTATATAAAATATATAAACAAAATAATTTGTTGTCAGATTAAAATTTATTACGATATTCATGGTATCATTAAAATTTTTTTAATTTATTTTTTTGTTAAGTTCTCAATAATTGAAAGTGCAGAACCAATCATCTCTCAATTTTGATTAACCATTGTTATTATCAGACTTTCATCATATCGCATACTACATAATATTTACTTTCAACCAGAACCCTATTCTCAAATTCTCCGATCAAAATCTGAATCATTTACTATTATCTTTCCTCCCACTTATTTTTTGGCCGATAATTCTATTTTATTTTCAATTTTTTCTTTCAAATCCAAATTTTTCCATAAATTCTTCCATCATAATATACTCATCGTTCTCATCATTCATTTTTTAATGATCTCAAATTTTTTATATTTTGAATAGGTAAATTCTCAATATTTTAAAGACTCAAAATGGACCAAGAAAATCAATCTGCATTACCCCAGCTTGATAATTCGGCTCCAACTTCGGAGACATCTGAAGAACGTAAGTTCACAGCATCAAAATTATTATGTCTTCCCGAAGTTTTACTCCCATGTCTATGGATTTATGTTGCTTGCATGGGTGCATATGGAAGCACATTAATACATTTGTGTTTTGTATTGTTTTATGCAATTGGTGTTAATGCCGTTCACAAAATGTCAATAAAATTATACGCTCTCCCTACAATCGTCTTGATTATCTCATTATTATATTCCATTGCATATTTTATCACTCAGACAACAATTTACTATCTCCCGAAAGATCAAAAACCAAAAATTACAAAAGCTATGCAGTATTTCGATTTTTTTGACAGTAATCAAAGAATAATGTTCAAAACAACATTTGTTATACTACAACTCATCATTATTCCCTTTGATGCGATATACATTGCTAGTAGATCTTATTTTACTCTTCAATGGTACTGCCAATCTCGAATTGTTTGTATGCGTCACCTAATGATCTTTATTCGTCCACTTTTCCTATTTACAATGGCAGTTCTTACAGCATCCACAAATTCAATTAATTTAATTTTTATGCCACTTGTTTTTTCATTAACTATTATCTCATTTTGTTTAATGTCGTGTAATTTACCAAAAATTGTAAGTTATTGTTATTGGGGAACTTACGTAATTGCAGATTTAGCTTTTGTTGCAATTAAAGATAACAGTTTCAAAGAATCAGCTCATTATCGATGGATTCCAAGATGGGCTGTTGTTGCTTGTGCTGGGGTTAATCTTCTTCTCATAGGGGCGATTATTGGCTGTAATCTTTATACTTTATCATTTCCTATTCGACTTCTCAAAAATGTTTATGTTCCATGGTGGTTTTTGGACATTATTCCATATGTTGTTCTTGCGACTTCTGGTCTATTTTGTATTTTAGAAGATTCCTGGCAATCTTACGGAGTTTTATGTTTTGCATGCATTACATCATTATTTGGAGTGAATTTCTTCCAGAGTACATCTCGTTTTGTACTAACTTTAATGACTTCTGTTTATTTTGCTCAAACATTTTATTATTATTTCAAAAAAGAAGATGGATTCCATCCAAAGTATAATTTCTTTATCTGCATATTGCAAGGTGTATCTGCTGTATTTGTTCATTGTTCAAAAAGCAAAAATAGTGAAGAACACATATTAGTAAATGAAAATGACCATAAATGGGTTGGAGTTACTATTAAATGGATTATTGTTTCTATATTCTTTGGAAATGTTATATTGAACGCCATATTTTCTTCAAAATTTGACTTTTTAACTTATGATATTCCACTTGCTTGTATTTTGTTGATTATGATATTCAAAGTATTCAATATATGGGTATGGACAGTATTAAATCTCATTACTTTTGGTTCAACGAGCATTTATTTTATTGCTCCCTTATTAAAGAAAAAAATCAACATTCCATGGCTTTTTGACAGCACTGTAACTGTAAATCCGAATGTAATGTTCTCAAAAGTATGGCCATTCCTTATTTTATTCATTTTGACAGCAATTCAAAGATATTATTACCGACCACCACCTCAGATTGTTATAAAGTTCTCAAGAACTATAGGAGTGTTTCTATCTCTTTGTTTTTCTTGTGTTTATATTGATAATTCCATTTTTACAGTTTTATATCAATTATTAATTGTTGCAAATCTCTTTTTATATCATTGGAATTACATTTTAATTGTTATTAATACGATAATATCTGCATCTCAGATAGTAGTTATTGCTACATTTGGTTATCCAGAAATCAAATCAATTGTTACACACAAAGCTTTCTTTTTCAAGTTCTTTGGTATTAGTGAACATCCTGATATAACAAGGCATCAAATGATTCCTATAATTATTCTTATTTTGTATATATTTTTCGGATCAATAGCAAGGAAATATGATGTTGATGAAAATCACGAATTGATGACATTTCTAATTGAAAATCTATGGGCAATTGTCTTGAAATTCTCATTTTATTTCTTTTGGTCTGCAATCTTTTTAGTTGTTATTGTTTCAAAAGGTGTTTCTATTGTAGGAGCAGTTATGTTAATAGTTCTAGGTATTATAAAGGTAACAGGACATTCAGCAAAGAAATCAGGTGTTTTCTTATATGTTATTTTCATGTTGGATGTTTTGTTTGTTACAACAGTTGCAAGTGTAAATGTTCCTTCAAAAGTTACAAAAATTGTAAATTTGATTGGACCTTTATGTGATACACCACTTGCAAAACTTGCTAATGTTTTAGTTTGTTTGTGTGCTTTTCTTAATATGAGTCATTTCGATGCGAAACAGATTAATCCTATAATTACTTATGTTGGAAATTGTTTAGCTTCTATTTTGATTTCTGGGGTTGAATTTACTTTAGTTATTATGGCTATTCAAGAAAATAACATCTTGAACTTGTTTGGAATTATTGTAGTTTTTATTATCTTAGTTCATCCGAAAGTTTCTTTGTTGGAAGCAAGAATTATTACGATTATTCTTAATCTTGTTTTGGGATATGTTTTAGCATTTATTATTATCAAATTCAAAGGAAAGAATGAATGGTATGATTATTTCCTTTTAACTAATGTGAAAATGATTGAAATATTTTATATTTTCTTGACAATGATTGTATTCTCTCTTTTCTGTGAGTTCGGAAGAGTTGATGCTGCTGTTGGAAGATCTTTCTTAACAACTTACTTCCCAACAATTGTTTCTGTTGCAACAACAGTCATTTCTTTTTACGCACATACTTATTTGACATTTATTCATACTTGTTTATTGTTAATCAATCAAGGATTTAATTATTATAACTCTCGTTTCCATCCAAAATCATTTAATGTTGTTATTTGGTACGCATATATTATTTTGCTTGTGAAAGCATTAAGACCTTTGAGATTTATTCCTCAAACAGAAACAACTTTCGATAAAGCGTTTGGAACAATCAAAGTTGATAATCTTAATTGGTGTGTTTGTTTCTGGCTTGAATTCTTATTGAGAAGCTGCTTAAATTCACCGATGTATCGAATGATTCACGAAAAAGAACTGAAAAGAGCAGAATTTAGAAGAAATAGAACAAAAATTATTGAAGAAATGATCGAAATCGATCAAAAATTTGCTGATTTATATTTCAAACACACTTTGAAAATCTTAGAAGAAGGAGTTGTCAATTTAAACATTACAGAAGACATACAAAATACTCATTCCGTTGAAGACATTAAGCAAACAATTATAGATAAAGAACCATCACTTCCAAAATACAAACTAATTACAAATGACGGAAATCCTGATGCTCCTCCTATCTCTCCTGTAAAATTATTATATCATTCGATCATAGGATGGGTTTTGAGGCTTCTAAGATGGTTTTTTTTATGGCTTGTTGACAGTTTGATTGAATTAGGTTCGAATTTTACAGATATTAATTTAGAACCAGGAGTCCACACTGATTTTCTTTTGAAAGTTAGAGACATGATGACTGAAATGGTTGATAAATTTTCAAACTCAAACGTTTTAGCAATTCCTCAAAATTATGTTGATTTTTCGAAGCAGCTTCCTTTATCATATCTTAATCATTTCCAAATATTCCATAGTCTTGATTTGTTATCTATAACTGAGAAAACAAGGTTCCCTTTATTATATCATTATCTCAAAGTGTGTTCAAGACAAGCAATTCCTGCTCTTTTACTTGCTTTGTGTTTTTATTATCCTTTAGTAGAAAGATCAGTTTTTGCATTGATTCTTTTCTTCTTAGCTTTGTTTTGTGTTTCATTTAACATTGAATCTTATATTCCTTTTGTTATAACATCAGGCTTTTACATGTTTCTCAGATGCATATTAAGAAGTTATGGAATGAAACCATTAGTACAAACATTTATTAATTCTCTAGAAGAAACGCACAGAAAATTAAAAGTTTCTGTTTGTTTCGGTTTGAATTTATCTGTTGGTGAAAAAATATATCTTTTAATTGTTTTATGTTTGTCATGCGCAAGTCAAACATATTCATTTACTCACCCATTCCAAATTAGAAGACCAAAGCAACATCCTATTGAAGAACCACAAACAAACCAGATGCCAAAACTTGGTTTAAGTGAAAAACTTTTGAGTAGAATTAATATGAAATCATTTATTAAATACGCGTTTAACAAGATTGCGCTTCTTATTGATGTCATTGCATTCGTCATTGCTTTGTTCTTTTATATGTCATGGACAAGATCTTCTGATGCAAATTCATTTATTCATGGATCTTCATCAGTTACATATGACTTTGTTTTCTTTTTGATGGGTAATTTCATATTTATTTTACTCAATCAATGGGTAATTCTTTCGAAACATAAGTTATGGCTTTTCATATATAACTTTTTATATTCTGTTTTTACTTTTATTTACATGACTTATTTAATTCCTGTTTTTACAGATAACGGATGTTTTGAACATGCATCGTATTGGACTTTCTATTTCTTAAGAATTCTTTCTGTTATTGTTTATTCTTGCAATTTAATGTTTGGTTTTGCAAGAATGCCTCCATCTCTTGGAAATCCAAATCCTTTGTTCACTTATATTAAGTTGTTGACAATTTCAAAAGTTCCTTTCCTATTCGAATTCATACAATTGACAAAGTGGCTTGCATGTACAACATCTCTAAATATGTTTGATTTCATGATCATTGGACAATTGAGATCAAAACTTTGCAAACAAGTGGCTTTGCTCAAACTATTTCCTGCAAATTCGAGGAAGAAATCACATGTTTTAGGTATTCTTTTTATGATTGCTATGTTTTGTCTTCTTTTTGCTCCTTTCATTGTAATGATGTCTTCAAGTACAACATCAATTACAAACAATGTACAAGTTGCATCAGTATCTCTAGGAATATATGGATTACCAGAACTGTTTACTGGTACTGTTCTTCCTAATGAAGATTCTTTCATAACTAATTCAATGCAAAAGAAGATAATGGCAATGAATGACCAAAAATTAGATCCTTTCTTCGCAAATTCTAAACGAGAATCTCAATATTTTAATTATCCGGGTATTACAATGACTAACTGGATCATTTCAGAATCAAGTGCCAGATTTGCAATGTATACAATCAAGAATACAACAAATCCTATTTTTATCCCTTATGTGACATTTAAATTCACTGTACAAACTCCAACAACGAAGAAAAACATTGACCAAATAACAATAACTAAGAATGGAAAACAACTCAGTGAAAAAGATCTCGAAACACTTTACAAAGCACTAGAATGTACTGTTACATCTACTTCTCCTCAAGAAAACTTAACTTTTTATTTAGATTCGTTGGTTCCTGTTTTCTTCATTATTCCTTTATCAGCAGATGCAACAGCCGTATCAGGATACACCTTTAATGTGACATTTAGTTTCCAGCAGAGTTACAGTGGTAACTACTACTGGTCCATCAATGCGATGAGAAATGAAAACTTACCTGATGATATTAAAGAAGGTCCTATTTCTTCTATAGTTTTCTCTAAGCCAACTTATGACGAAACTATTGGATCTATCTTGTCTAAAACAGGAGGAGGATTCTATGGAATGCTCCTTTTCGTGATCATGACTTGCGGAAAGTTCATAAGATCTTTTATTAACTCGTTCTTTTCTGATTTATGGATTGATAAAATGGGAAAGCCACAGATTTTCTTGAATGTTATTCTTGCAATAGAAGCACATAGAAAAGAAGGTGATTTAACTTCGGAATATGCTACAGCAATGATGCTTCTAAATACCATTAGATCGGTCCATAATTTAGTACGAATTGGAGGAACTGTTCCTATCAATGAAGGTGAGAGAGTTAACTATCTATTATAATATTATATATATTGTTTGTTAATGTAATTAAAATAAAATTCTGTTTGTTTTTATATGGATATGATGTGATTTTTAATGTAAAATGCATTAGAGAAGCCTTTGAAAACTAATTCTATCATGTGTCGAATATATGCTGATTAATCCATATGTGGCATCAAATTTGAGTTCATGACTTTTTGTAAAATGTTTACAAATGTCTAAATTTTAGACATTTGTAAACAATATTCAAATCCGTTCTTTTCAAAATTGAGAGTTCCAATTTCTTGTTCATTTTATTTGATTTTTTATGCTTTACATGCAACATTTTTGATATTGTTTTTTTTTATATAATTTAGTGTGATTACAATAACGTAGCACGCTTTTATGGGTCCAGGATTTTTGACGGGTCCTGGCGGTTTTTGCTTCAAATTTTGAAGAGTGTGTTTGATTTTGATAAGAGAACGATATAAAACCGATTGTAAATTTTGTAGACTATTCAAATTTCCCCAAAAATTCATCATATGCAATATTTCAAATATAAGTGTTTCTATGGACAACTGTTTTAAATAATACCCAGGACCCTCAAGAAAATGTGGGACCCAAAAAAATGTGCAACGTTATACAAAAATGAGTTGTAAGTACAATATTAAAAACTTATTATATTGTCTATTAATGCTACAGTATGAATGCACAATCACTTTCATCAAATCATGAGTAAAAAAATATTTCTATTGGATTAATGAATGATTATTATTTTAAATATCACATTTATTATTTTTAATTTAAGCATGTCGGTTTGGGCAATTCTTTTGCAATTTGGGCAATACTTTTGGAAAATTTTCCGCGAAATTTGAGCCTAAAAGGCTCAAATTTCGCGGTCAATCAAAAACTAAAATAGGCACGTTATAAAGCTCATATATTCTTTTTATTTCTAAAAAAAAAATTGCAATTTTTTGCATTCTCTTTTATATATAAAGTTTATTGGAAATCAAATTTACCCATTTACAATAAACTTTACTTGCACTTTAAAAAGGATGGAAATATAATTATTGGCGAAATAATCATCAAAATTTTCAAATATTTTTTTCTCACAAATTTTTTGAGAGAAGGTGCGATTGCGACTAAAAATTTTTTTTCGAAAGCATATTTTGAGTTGTATTAGAACTATAAGATATGAACGCTATTTCAAGATAATTCAAAGGTATAATATTGGAAATGAATTTTTCGCTTCAATGTAGTTAAAAAATAAGTAAACTTGCTATAAAATTATATGCTTTTAATTATACGTATGCTGATTTTAATTCTATATGCATAACTAAAATATCTTGAGCTTGGAAGTTATGAAATCAACATCAATAAGGACAAATTGAGGACTATTAAAATTCAAAATCAAAATCAATATTAAGGTATTGTTTTATGAATTGAGAGTGCTGTAGAAGTCAATAAAATTAAGAATTTTAAAGCTAGACCTAAGTTATCCCTTCAGTCAGAAGTTCAGAATATATAGCGTAGCATCTCAAAATGTGTAACGTTACCATCTCAAAATTACATAATCTGACAATTTTTAATATAAAATGATCGCGAAATTATATATGTCAAAATCTTCTAATTTCCATGAACTTAATAAATTGAATACTTCTGAATTTATATTGAATTACAAAATTATTTTCATCAATGAAGAGTGAGAAGATGTTGCAGCGAAAGGTAAAAAGATTTACCCCAGAGGATGACTCTCTGATAAGGAAATATTGTAATAAGTATACAATTAAAAACGCAGTAAAAAAGCTTTCTTCAATATTGGAAAGATCTGAAAGATCGATTAGAGAAAGATTCACTAAGTTCCTTGCTTTGAACTGTGAACCCTTTACAAAAGAAGAAGACCAAACAATTTTGGAGATGCAAGCTCAATTTGGTAATAAATGGAAATTGATAGCATCCTATCTTCAATCTCGCTCAGACATTCAGACAAGAATCAGATATAAACAGCTAAAAAAGGAGATTGATTTTCCTGAAAACTCAATACCAAACGATAATCCTGATGATTTCAATGAAATATTCGGTATTGAAGAAATTCCTGAATTCGATTTTAATGATTTTTGTCCTGATTTTTGATTTTTTTTATTTTGAATTTAAAGATTTAATCTAAATTACTTGATTTATTGTTTAAATGCTTGTCTAGTTATTGAAAATGGTTAACAAATGACATGACTAATCTAATATGATAATTTAATGATGATATTTTCCCAATAATATTGGATTTTTAAAAAATATTATTTTCAATGTTTGTTGTAACAAAATGAGTATATATTAAAAATCTTAATATAATATTAAGTTAAATTAGTCAGAACAAAATTTTTCGCATCTAATCTCATATCTTCTGAAATTTCCAGAATATAAAATTTAACAATTTTTAACAGACCAGTCGCATTTATTCCTGAACACATATTAATGTGCATAATAAGATCAAACTTTTTTCATTCTATGCAATTTGCCGATTTGAATGTAATATTTTCAATACAACGGTCAGTTGTAAAATAAAAATTGAAAGCATTGATTTTGAAATGCATCATTAGTCATAATAATTAATATTTTCCAATTTCGCGCAAAAAGTCGGAAATCTCGTTAGTATTTTGTGAGCAATTGTTGATTCTAAATTTATTAAAAAAATGTATTTTATGATTATCTAGCAAAATTATAGTATTTTATCACTCAGAAATATGGTAAAATGCATTCTATATTTAATGATTTTAAATGGATAAATTTTATCGTATATTAATATTAAAGAATAAGTATCCTCTCCCAATATAACAAATTCCATATCTTATCCTCGAATTAAACCATTAAGAATGTAATGATTCGAAACCAACATTTTGGATCTCTTATTACCATTCTATTATCGGAGCAACATGCATAAAATATGTTCCATTCTAACAACGATTTAATGAAATTTCGGAACGATTTAAATTAAATAAAAAATATTCCGAAATATTAATAACAAAATCAATTAAATGCAAATCAAGATGATTAAAATTAATTGTTTATATCTTTCCCCAAGCGTTAGAACGCTTTTGGTTAGAAATTGGCTTAGATGAGGTTAATGATGGGTATTCTTCATCATCAACAACAACTCTCTGTTTCTGTGGCTGTGAAGTTGGTTGTGCTTTCTTCTGTGTCTTCTTTGGTTCCAAATCACTGAATGATGGGAACTCTGAATCGTTTGTTTGAGAAGCCTCCTTCTTTTCTTGCTGTGCTGGCTTCTCTTCTGCTACTGTTGGCTGCTCATGGTGAGCTGCTGGTCTTGGATTGAAAGATGGAGTAGTTGTAGGGGTAGTGGCTGGCTGTGGGTTGAAGGATGGGGCTGCTGGAGCTTGTGTAGTATTGTTGTTATAGTATGGTGTGAATTTGTTGATGTTTTGTGGATTGAAGTTGTTATGTTGCTTTCTAACTGGTTCGAATGTTGGTAAGGCTGGTCTGTCTTCCTTGGCTGGCTGTGGTGAGAATGTTGGGATGCCAGTATTGACTTGAGACCACTGTGTCTTTGGTAATGGAGCCTGGACTAAGGATGGCTTGATTTCTGGCTTTGTCTCGGCTGGTGCTGATGCTGGAGTTGGAGCTGGAGCTTGTGATGGTGTTGGTGATGGTAAGGACTCCTTCTTTGGAGCACCCCAGTTGAATTGCATGTCATCGAAGCCTTTCTCGACCTTCACTGTGCTTGTAGTGCTTGTGAATTTCTTTGGTCCGCCAACTTGCTTCTTCTGCTGTTGATTCTGGTTCTGCTGATTCTGATTTTGGAACTGGCGGTTCTTTTGGTAATGAGGCTGTGGTTGTGTTTGGCGTTTCTCATTGTCATTATCGATTGGGAGTTCAGTGCCTGTACGCTTTTGATGCTTGTTCTCATTTAAATATTTATCTTCTTCTAAAGGAGCAATGCACTCGGCAGATCCGAAAATTCCGAATTCTTCGAAGTTTGCCGGTGGTTCGGATTGTGTGAATAACTCAAGAAGCTCGTGAACTGTGTAGATATGGAGTTCAGACATTATATGGCCAGAAAAAAAATCGAGATGTCAGAAATGTCAAAAAAGTTACTAGGAAATCATTGATTTCGAACGAAACGCTAAACGACACCAGTGTTACATTCAATGTTACTGAACAAATTCATGTCATCGTCATTTTTTAATCGATTTTGAGATCGAATATTAGAGGGTGAAGTACAAATTGTTCTTACTCTATTACATCTCTATTCCAATGTCATCCGTAGAGCTTTGACGGCAGAAAAATGAAATCATGAAATTTTTTTTTTCATATCGAATAAATATGGTGTTTATTTTTGAATATTATATCTGTCCATTTCATAACATGCATTATTTACTATGAATGACTAGTTTTATATGCATTTTGAGAATAAAGAATTCCGTTTTATAATAGTTTTCTCATCTTTCAGTTGAAAATCATAATACTTTCAATAATGCATATCGAATAACCATATGTTTTTATTCTTCCGTTTAAAATTACATCCACTGTAATTCAAAAATTAAAATATTTTATAAATTTCATATTCCTTAATCTGAACTACTTGAGCTGATCTTTGGGTTTATTATTAAATCCTTAAGAAATCAGCTCCATGCCAGATACGTATTTTTAAACGTACATTGAGATTTTGCGTTTGAAATTATTTCAAAATATTGATGTCTAAAAGCATAAGTCAGGCACCAAATTCTAAGAACGCCCTTCTAAAAGAGCTTATCAGGACATCTCCAAAGAAATACACAGCAATTCTCTTGTCTGACTCAGAAGATGAAGGTGAAAAGAAAGCAATTTTGATCTCAGACTCGGAATTGGATGATGACGAAGATGAATACGCTAATACAAAAGCACACAAGCAAGATAAATACAACAACAAGAATGATCACTGCAGATTTGATAACAAACCGCGAAATCAAATAGCTAGAGGTATTGATTTCTCCTCAGATGAAGATGATGACTTTGATGACGATGATGATACTTATACATCATTCGCTGAGTCAGACTATTCAAATCAAACTGGTGATTACTCAGCCTATTCAAACAGCACCTACCAAAGTAAGACATACTCGAGCTACTCAGGCTCTGCAGTTAGTTCACAGTATTCTCACTGTTCTGATTACAGCGAAAAGAAAGTCTGCCCAAGATGTTCCAAAGTACTTTCTTCTGACTCATACCTCTCTTCCGAAGATGAGAGTGAGGATGAGTCTGAATCATTAAGTTCTGATTCTGAGCTGAATTCTGATAGTTTCGATGATTCATCAGATTCATTTGAACTTCCAGTTCCTAAGTTCAATAAGACATTTGACCCACGCAAAGAGCTTGCAAAGCAACGTCGTGAAGCTGGCAATCGCGCTATTCTTGAAAAGAGAGCTAAATGCGAGAATATTCCAACACCTCAAGTCATTGTTTCTCCAAAGAAGCCATCACCAATGCGTCTTAGAAAGCTTTCAAATCTTTCTAAAGTTGATGAAATAATACAGAAGCGCAAAGAGAAATTAATCAAGGAAAAGGAGGCAGAAAGAAAGAGAATGGAAGAGGAAGCCATGAAGAAAGCTCAAGAAGAAATGGAACAGAGGAGAAAGGAAAGTGTGAAGAACCTCCTTGAATCTCTCGGGGAAAGAAAGGCTCATCCACAACGCTATGTCGCATTATACCGTAGACATCGCAAGTATATTGATTCTGATTCTGAAAGTGAAGCTCTTTCATCCAGTGATAATTACTCTGATGATAGTGAATTTTAATTAGGGTAATACTATATTGTTGAATTTTCGATCAATTCTTATTTTCTCTAATCATTTTAAATGTAATTTTACAAATTATTGATTCAAAAAAAAATTATGACTTTTGCATATTGAGTATATCAAAATGATGTCTTAATAGATTGACAAATATATTCACATTCAATCGCATTACTATGGACCTTTTTGCAGAGATATAAATCACAAATATCCTTAAGTTTATATATTAACTATTTCAGATACTCACATGTATATACCTAAACTTATATTGATGTGCATCGTTATTAATATATAATTAATGAGTAATGAAAAAAAATAAGAAATTACGCAAAAAATAACAAACATTTTATAAGTATATATAGTTATGTCCTCATATACGTTGATGATTGAGATGAATTATTTGATTGCTTGAAGTAATTATGTTTAATTATATCTTCAGCTGAAAATCTTTCTTTTGGATCCCATCTCAAGCATCCACTAATTAACTGCAATAAGTAAGGATCAGATATATTAGTTTTCTCCTTTAAAGATGTCTCGTTTATCTCCATTGTATCGAGTAATTCAAAATTTTCATCAAAATAATATTTTGCTCTTTTTGCAGTCTTCAAGATGCTCTTGGGAGGTATTCCAAGCATTGATATCATCAAGCACATCAATTCTTCTTCATCAAAAGCTTCAAAAAGCGGCTTTCCTGTAAACATTTCGCATAACAAACAACCATAAGACCAAATATCAATTTTTGAGTCATATTCGTTTTCCAAGACGACTTCTGGAGCCCTGTAGAACCTACTTTGAATGTAGGTATATAATGTATTCCCTTCTGTGCATGAACATCCGAAATCAATGAGTTTTATCGATGTTCTTCTTACATTTGTAAATAAAATATTTTCTGGTTTTATGTCACTATGTATTACATTGTTTTTGTGCATAAAATCGAGTGCTTCTGCTGTTTGTCTTGCCACCATCTGGTAGGTGCTTGCTTGTAATCGCTTAAAAGGCTGACTACAAATGAGTGAATAAATATTAATCGAAGCTAATTCCATGACAATGCAGAAGTAGCCTCTAAAAATGAAAGAGTCTTTGTAACGAATGATATGGAATTTGTCAGGTCCTCCGTTCTGTTGAAGGGTTGTTAAATATGCTTTTTCTAGTAAAACGTGATCATGAGTTTTTCTTGTATCTCGGAGAGCTTTGATTGCTACATCCTCATTAAGTTTATGGTCGTGACATTTTATGACGAAGCCTGAAGATCCTTCGCCTAAAATTGATATCATTTGAAATCTATAAGCGATATGATCATCTTTTTCGAAGCGAAGTAAGTTATTTGATGTGCAATCTGACTTTTTGCATGTAATTGGTGACTTTCTTATATAATAAATAATTGAATAATTGACAATTTCGTATTCTTCTCGATCTGTGATAAAATGTCGATAACTAGCGAGTACTTCATGGTTCGAGCATGGGCCTTCAAAAGTTTTTTTGAGTGAGTTATTATTGCCTATGTCTAGAGGTGTTTTAACGTACCTAAATCTTGCAGATTCTGGAACTTTTGGTTCTAATTTTGGAGAAAGCTTAATACTAGCAAGGTTTCGTTCAGAATTTCGCTTTCCATTAGGAACTTTTATAAGAAGATTATGCTTTGGCGTTGGATGAATAACTTTCATATAAAAATTGTAAGAAAAGTGTCAAAAGCTAGATTTCAATCGAAATTTTGCTATTAGTAATGCAATCGGGATCTATTTTTGGCCTTCTCCAATTCAAGGCTAGTATTTTAAAGCATGAGGCGTGTTAACATAGCAATTTACAAGATATAGTCCTTTCAAAAAGAAATTCTGCAAATTATTTAGTCTGGTGATGTTTGTATGAATATTAAGGAAGTTGAAAATGCCCAAATAAGAGAATGAATTTGATTAGTTGATTTCTGCAGAAATTGTCGGTATTTTAATGTCAATTATAGGACCAGATATGCCCAGCAATGGCTGAGATAATGATGTCAAAGTTTGCCGTGTTAAATCCAAAAATCCACCTAGTATGAAGGGTCATAATTCTATCGGCGCTACCTGCCGATAAAATTGGTTGGAAAAGTGTCATTTTTAAAAAAATGGATTCTCCTGACCGAAACATTGAAGATCTTGACAATGATGGAAAAGACAATGAAGCTCATATTTACCATGAAGGCGTAAGAGATAGCAAACAATCTATTGATCCAAAAGCAAATGTTAAAATTCCACAAGAAGTATTAATTCCATTTTACGATGTTAATGCTACGTCCCAAACAAAATGATTTCTTAATTTCAAAAATGAGAAATCTTGTATTATTTGTTTAGCAATTACATTATTCAGATCATATTTTTTCCAAAAATGAATTCTTATCGCTGTTTTTGTCTAAAAACCTTCTATTTGTTTCATCTACGTTTATTTCATATTACATTTTTTTTCATTCATTTTAAAAATTCATTTTTTGTAATTAACTTGATTTCACATAATTTAGTTTACAAATATGATAGTGTGGCTTATGAGACTTATTTCTTTATCTATTAAGTATAATAGTTATAGTATACATTTGATATCTTCACAATCATTCATCAATATCCCAATCGTGAGGACATGAACAAGAATAGGAATGATTTGCCAATATCTCTTCCATGCACTCTGTTCATTATTTTAGTTTTTTGAAAAGTCAATTGTTTGCTTGGTATATCCAAACAAAGGTACATTCACGAAAAGTGACACCCCTCTTCTTTTTTCCTAGGGTTACTGATCGCTTTCTTTCTGCTCGCCATGCCAGAAATGAAAGAAATGATTGATGCAGAATAATTTATTACTCCAATTGGCAACTATCTTGTAATATACAATTAGTTGCATTGTCAGTTATTCTCCAGCATTATTCAATTTAAGTTCAACTTCTTTAATTTAAATCATATTGCAGCTATACCCTCGCGTTGAGATACGAACAAGATTACACATACTAAAATCCCACATTAAAAATCGAAATTTTGCAACGACAGAATTCCTCGTAATTTTGGTTTTTTACTTACCTTATGATACATATTCAAATGACTTGAATATAGAAAAAGTTACTAAGATTTGAGGAAATTTTTGCAATAAGAAATTAAAAATCGGTTTTATTATATAAGTTACTTATGAATTAAAATTACCTCTATAATTAGTGTACAGTGCCTCACATAATCTTTGGATATTTCTGATTTCAAATTTATACATTTTGATTGGAATATTCATAACTCAAATCTAGATGATAGTTACTACATTTATGCGAATACAGTACGTATCCATTCATCTATTTACTTGTTGTTGTTGAAATAAAAACGTTATTATTTTACTATCTTAAAATAAGAATTTTGTTATAGTATTAATATTTTCATCAACAATGATGACATTATATCAACTCTTAAATGACATTATATCAAATATGATATCAAAATCAAAAATTAGGTGTTTTTTATGAGAAAAAACGTGTTAATTTGACGATTTGGCTAATTATACAATACTTTTATTTTCCAAATTTTTTTTGAAATTAATTTTTTCGAGAGAAAAATCAAATTTTTGATTTTCATTTTTGAATTTTTTTTGGAATTTTGAATTGATCAATTAAGCAGAATGAGTTATGGGAATGCTTTATACATCTCACAATGTGATGAATTAAAGACGAATCTTAAAAAATTATTTAAAATCACAAATATCATCCTTATTCTCATTTGTTTCAAAAAAGATAGTACTAAGTATTGATAAACCATGATCTATCTTAGTAAAATACTTGAATAAAAAGTGTAAAAGTAGAGTTTTTATTCATTTTTATATTAGATTTAAACGAAAACCTGTTTCATATTAATATCCTAGTCGAGAGATGAGATTTTATTCGTATTTGTTAGCATTCAGTAGACATTCTAATCTTGAATTTTAAATTTTACTTAAAATTATTAATAAATGTGAGGTTTTGCTTCGATTTCTGATTAATTTGATTAAATTGTCTCGACATGCATCTTGAATAATATCGTTTCTTGAGGAACTCCAAGATTTTCAAGAGACTTCTTGCGATTTTTGATAAATGATAAGAACTCTCATTTACGAAAAAAGGTTTATTGAATATAAAATATTTCTGTAATGACTCATTTTCATTATACTATTTTCAGTCAAATCCTCAAAAGTTAATATTCAAATCTCTTATTTAGCTGAGAAACTGGATACTACATAATGGATCATATTCATGTAAGCTGGAAATGGTATGGTTACATTCAAATGCTCCAATAATACTTCAATTTAGAATACAGAATATGAATATTGATTTTTACTTCTATTTGAAATTACATTTGATATATAAATCATAATTTGATGATTAATTGATAAAAATTAGGGAAATTAAAATATAATTCACAAATCTTTTTATTATCTTAATAACTTTTCAAAATAAGATCATATTATTCATATTTGGAGCCTACTGATTCTAAGTATCCTATTTATTTGAAAATCTATCGTTGGGAAGTCTCGTGCATGTACCTTTATCCAAACCTTAAAATATTTTTAAAAGAATGTTAAATTTACAACACATGTAAAACACAAAACTGCGATATAAAAATAGTTTTTTCCGATAAAATTTTGTCACCTTTAAAAATTGATAGCGAAATGATTTTTAACTTTATCTTGATATGCTATAAATCTTCATACAATATCTATATAGCGCAAGATGCATATCTCTTCGAATCATTCGGTTTCAATGCAAATGGTACATTTAACGTAACATTTAAAAATTTATATACTCCAAATCTATATTATACTCTTTTATCATCAAAAGAATTCCCAATAGAACTCCTATTATTTGCATCAGCTTCTAAATTTTGTCATGAATCTCCTCCAATCCCAAAAATCCGCACATATGTTCCGATTTCATCAAATTTTACATTTTCTGGAGTAATTCCAGAGAAAAATACTTATACACCATTAGTTTATAATTGTAATAATAACGAAACATTTATAGATTTAGTTCAAACATTTCGCAATCCAAACTCTTACCTAGACTCACGTTGGATCAGCGGTGATTGGTCTCAATTTTCATTGTTTGCCGTTGTTTTAATAGTGTTTTTCTTCTGGATTCTAAATTGGTTTTGCCATTTTAGGACCAACGTCAAAATTCATTACTTTCTTACATCTACACTTGCATTAGGAATTGGATATCACTTATCCTTTTTCTTTGAACTCATAAAGCTTGAAAAAACAGATGATGCGATATATCAAACGACAATACGACTTTTATTCAGCTTTTTCTACAATGCGTTAATGTATATTACATTACTACTATCCATCAAAGGTTGGTGTGTTTATAAAACGAAGCTAACCTTCAAAGACGTCTTTTCTGCTCTAATTTTCGTTTTAATTTACACGATTTGCAATTGTCTTCTTGCTTTAACAACACTTGGCAAAGCAGAAACAATTATACGTCTCGTCAGCATGTTTGCTATTATGCTGTATGTCCGAGAATTAGTGATTTCCATCACAAAAACGAACATTCATTTTATTGCTCATTTATATGTAATTTCCAATGCAGGAGTTACACCAACATCCACTCCCATATACGCCAAGTATAGAGTATATAAGCTCCTGAGACTTGCTGTCGCTTTCTGTTGCTTTAATATTTCAGTTCGATTGATTACATCTTTATTTAATAATCCTTTCCTATGGATTGACCAACTTATTTTTGATTTAATGCAGATAGCCATTGACATCATTCTTTGTGTTACCTTTAAATTGAGCAAATCTGAGTCAAATGACCAGTATTTGATGTTATCTGATGATGAGTATGAGCATACTAAACCTGAAGAGCTGCAATTGACTGATATAAAGCAGATATCAATAAAGGAATTGATAAATAAGACAGGAATCGCATGGGAAAGAGGAATTAAATTACCTAATGCACCAATCATCAAAGACACTGCGCAAAGATATGACACATCTAGATTACAAGCTGCAAAGATTATTAAACCAATAGATGAAACAGATGATTTTACTGAAAGTACAGAATCTTTATCTAATTTATAATTTTATTATATATTTGTTTGTATATTTATCTAAACATGTATTTTTATTTAGAAAAAATAATGTATTTATGTTAGTTAATGAAAATAAAAATCAAATTGATAATCCTATCGAAGTTTAACAATGAGTTTTTTGGAGAATCACGATTCAATTGATTACACTATGTCCAACATTCAAATATCCTTTCTCGAAAACTGACAGTTTTAATAAAGTAGATGAAAATATTTCAGCACCTAAAAGAAGATCAGTCCGTGAAACCGCAACATAGTCAAAAAAACTTATAAGTCAGATATTGGAGCTTACCAAGTCATCAATTAGATAAAAAAAGGAAATTTAATTATGAAATATACCCAGAAAGCTAATTTATTATTATGGCTTAGTAGAGTGGATCATATTCAGCTGATGGTTCGAAGAGCTGAGCCTTGAGCCAGTCCTTGAGGGATGTGCCCTTTGGTGGGACAGCTGTAGCGAGTACGTTGTCGATAAGGTACTTGGAAACATCGTAAGCGATACCGAATGAGTATTCACGGATCTTGTTGAGTGGTGGAAGAAGGTTGCCCTGGTCATGATCCTCCTTCTTAACAAGGGAAGCAAGAGATTCAGCGGCGATTTCGAAGACCTTTGGTGGGCAGTGGCGAGCCTGTGTTGTAACAAGAGCGTAACCAACAGCTGGGAAGATCCAGGAGTTGTTAGCCTGGGCAGTGATGATCTTTCTGCCGTTGACCTGTTCAGCTGGGAATGGTGAGCCTGTAGCGCAGAGGGCCTTGCCATTGGACCAAAGGTAAACATCGTGTGGCGTAGCTTCAGCCTTTGGTGTTGGGTTGGAAAGTGGCATGATGACTGGGTGCTCAGCATTCTCTAATGTTGCCTGGACGATTTCCTTTGTGATAAGTCCTGGAACACCGGAAACACCAATGACGCATGTAGCCTTGAACTTCTTGACGGCCTCGAGGACTGAGCCGTAGTGTTCCATGTCGTGCATGTATGGGATGTTGAAGTCATAAAGATCTGTACGGCCAGAATGGACCATACCCTTGTGATCGAACATGATGATGTTCTTGTAAGCCTGCTCCTTTGTGATGCCACCGCGGGAAACAGCCATATCGACGATGAGGTTAGCAATACCTGTAGCAGCAGAGCCAGCGCCGATGAAGATGATCTTCTGGTTCTTGAGATCTGGAACACCTTCCATGTGTGTAGCTGAAGCAAGTGTAGCAGCAGCGACAGCAGCTGTGCCTTCGATATCATCGTTGAAGCAGTTGCAGCGCCATCTGAAGTGATCAAGAAGCTTGAAAGCAGCTTCCATTTCGAAATCTTCGAACTGGACAAGGCATGTCTCGCCGAAGACTTCCTTGACGGCAGCGACGAATTCCTCAACGAACTTGAGGTGCTCAGCGCCACGTACACGTGGATGGCGCCAGCCGTGGTAGAGTGGGTCGGCGAGGATTTCCTTGCGGTCTGTACCCATATCTAATTGGACTGGAAGTGTCTGATCTGGGTCAACTTGGCCGATAAGTGTGTAAAGCATAAGCTTACCGACTGGAATACCAAGGCCGGAAGCACCGAGATCACCGAGACCGAGAATACGGCCAGCATCTGTAACGACAATGCAGCGGATGTCCTGGCGTGGGTAGTTGCGGAGGATGTCCTTGATCTTGCCAGAATCTTCTGGTGTGATGTAAATGCCACGGTATGACTGACGGTGTGTAGCCCACTTCTGGCAAGCTTCACCGACAGTTGGTGTGTAAAGAACTGGCATTGTCTCCTCTGGTGGGTGTGTGAAGAGGAATCTCCAGAAGGACTGTGAGTTCTTCTCACGCTCGTTAGCGAGGAAGATGTACTTGAGGAGTGGTGTTGGCATCAACTCGAATTGGCGGCGGATACGAGCAGCCTGTTCATCCTTTGTGAAGACCTTGTATGGGAGAAGGCCGCGGAGGTTGAGGCGGTCACGTTCTTCCTTTGTGAAAGCTGATCCCTTAGAAAGATCACCATCTTGAAGAAGTGTCATACCTGTCTTGAGGGTTGGGCGAACATTGCGTGAAAGTTCACGTGCTGGGAAGTTGACTGAAGATGTAAGCATCCTAAATCAAAAATGAAGAGATTTCACATCACCTACCGAGCTGTCGTCTTCAGCCATTTCTCTCTCAAATTTTGAATTAAGTTCAATCATTCTGAAAAATATCGTCAGCGTCCTTCAAATTTGCATAACACTTCACCTCACAGAGAAATTCTCGTAATAAAGAATATGCAAATAGTTTGTATATTAATTTTTTCCAATAAAATTATGACCCATTAAATTGGATCTCAAAATTGAAAAAAACAAAACCGATCAGGTATTTGACCAAACATAATTTTAGTCAATAGTACTATGATAAAAGTCAAAATGCATTCATTTGGAATAAATTTTGTTCGCTATCTGAAGAAAAAAGATAATAGATTATCCTGAGAGTACCTTAGGTCAGTGCATCAATGAAAAAACCTTGAATAAATATCGAATTACAAGCCAAATTTTTAGTTATGGCAAGATTTCAAGAAAACTATATAAACTATATTTTTAATTTAAGATTTTCATACTTAGTCAATGAGAAAACAAGCTGGAAAACAAAGTACTGATTATCAATTAGTTAGATTATTTGGAGAAAAATATAAGTATCAGTAATATACGGTTTATTTCCGAGCAAAAATTCTTCGGAACACAAGTTTATCATAGGGTATTTTGTGTAACAATGATGATTAAGTGTTTGCACTGAAAATTAAGGTTTTTCTTCTCGTGAAAAATATAGAATCAACTGATATTCGTAAATTACATGAAGTAATTGGTAAATCTGGTTTGTTTTTTGTATGTCTTAATTGTGTATGTTATTATTGTTTGATAAGACTATTGAAAATCAATGATAATATGGATCGATATAAATGTGCGTAAAAAATGTGCCAGTTCCACTTGAAATTCGGCTGGAAACCTGACTCACCCTTAATCGAATAGTATCTGATGGTTCCAAATTTCCAAAAAAAAATTCAAATTTATGAAAATGAAGTTAAATCCCTCATTTTTATATCTGATTTTTATTTTTTCAATTTTTTTTTGGAACTTTCATTATAAAATTCGCTTCAAATAGATAATAATCAAATTATTTCATGATAATAAATATATAAAACTTATTTGTATTACATAAATTTTCTATTTCCTCTATATTTTTATTACATTTTTTAATTATTAAATTTCAAATTTTAATAATTTCTTCAAAGAAAGATTATGAACACTAAAATATCTAAGTCTCATAATTGTTAATTCAATTTCTATTAAGATAGGTTTCATTTATAAACAATTTTTCCCAGAATCGATTTTCTTTAGATATAGCTCAAAAATGTAATATAATAACATCTCTTGGGTTTGAACATCCAGTTTTTACACTAAAATTATATTGTTTCAATTTAGATTTTTCATGGAGATTTCGTTATCTTATTATCCGATTCTTCATACATCTCCAATCAACAGAAATGGCCTTTGTGTTTTCAAACTTGCAGGTCATGTCACACAGAAATTCGCGTTTATTGGGTCAGATGGCGTTTTAAAATATTATAGGTTCGATAAAAATATATTAAGTCAAAGATATGAATCAAATATACTTTCAAATAGTAACGAGTGCGTAATCGCAAGTGATGATAATGTAATTGTTTCACAAATGAAAGGAATTTCAAGATATAATCGAAAAGGAGCTCACGTAAAGACATATAAAATACCATTTGACAATCACATAACATCAATGATTGAGCAAGGATCATATATTCATGTCGCTTCAGGTACAATGAGTTATACAGTTGGAGTACAAGAGTCTGCAATCGCTTATGACTCACCAATTATTGGATTTGCTGTTGTAAACAATGTACCTTATGCAGGAATTGCATCAGGCAATGTTTATTCCTTTGTTCCAGGCCAATCACAATTAGTTCAGACGCTTCCAGGATCATTGACAATGATTTCATCGGTACATCATACGAAAACAGATTCCTACCTTGCTGTAGGATGCTCTGATAAGAAATTACGCTTTTACAACAAATTAGATAAAGAAGTTTCTTCAGTAGAGCTACAATCACCAGCTACAGCCATGAGTGAGTTCGATATTGATAAAGATGGATATCCAGAGCTATTTGTTGCAATGGAAAATGGAAATGTATGCTTAATTTCACTTGCTTTAATAGAATCTCCAAGAGTCCTTTCATCAATCTCAATTGGCTTCTCAGCAACAAACATAGAGGCCGGATACATATATTCCGCTAACTTAGTTTCAGCAGTTGTCACTTCTCAATCCGGACATATCGGAATTGTTTCTGCAGAACCACGTAGAGATCGCTCTCTGCTCACATCAATTGCTCCAAAGGTTACAGAACAAGAATTGGATCAATTAAGACGCGAAATTTCAGCTCTTGAAAATATATCCAAAAACAGTTCTTATCAGCGCTCAATAGTTCCAGTACAGACAAAAATGGAGCTCAGAGGCGACATTTATTCCCAAAGTTTCGTGATGATCGTTGAATCCGAAAAACCAATATCTCGAGTCTCAATTGGCGCCAATCTTCCAATCACAGTTAAATCGAGGAATGACTGCCAAACAACAATATTCACTGCCAAGCGCAAAGCTCCCAACAGTTCCGCTGTAATTGTTCCTGTTGATCCAAATGCGACCAGAATTACCTTCGATATCTCATATGAAACAGGCCAAGGCGGTGAACTCCAAGCTTTCGTCAACTACGCTGGCAGCGCAACAGTTTTTTCGAAGGAATACCAACTTCGACCATTTGGACTTCTCAAAAAGTTGCCAACAAATCCACTCGAAACAATCAAAGACGATTCATTGGCTGTTGTCGATCTTGTTGCTGCTGATGGTGCATCATCCGTCTTCCACTCCATTGTCGCCAATTGCTTCCCCATTCCTCTTGAAGAAGACGTCACAGCTTCGTTCTCAATGGGCGTTGTTGGAGCTCCTTTGTCTGTTACTTTGAACGGGGACAAACTCACAGCGAGAAGTCTGTTTTTGCCTCTAGTTATACAGATAAGGAGCTATATACTCGGCGCAATGAACAGCCAGAAGCAATCTGTGACGTTCGAGACACATTTGGGACCAAATTGCGTCAACGAGTTCTTCAATTACATCGAGAAGAGATTTTTCGAAGTAAACAAAGCAGCAAGCGATCACATGAAACTTACTGCACTCAAGGAAGTAAGGAACTCAACAATGGCATCAACATCTATCCAGGCAAACGAAGAAACAGCAAGATTGATGGCAGAATCACAGGAAATTGAGAAAAAATACGAAGAATGTTCTGCGGAATATTTCTCATACATAGATGTAATTCATCAGTTTTACATCGAAATGTGGAAAATAGAGAATATCAACTCGGCTAACTGCATCGAAGAGCTGGATGCTGTCACAAAAGAAGCTATTGACGGAAACTCATTGACATCGCTCATTAATTTCATGAAAGCTTCTCCTCCAAAATGAAATTAATATAATCTTTTTCTTTATTGTTAAAAATTATAAAATATTTTTTGTTTATTTTCAATAAAAAATCATTATTTACCCTAAAAGCTATCAACACAAGGCCCCATGTGAATTAATTTTTTGCACCCTATGAAAAACCCCAATTATTTCACACAACATTGATTTTTTCATATTTATGATGAATGAATGCAATATTAAAGATTGCAAAAAATATAAAAATCTTGAATCATTTTTAGTTTATTTAGGTCAAATTAATGATATTAGCAAATGATATTTGTTCGGAAATGATCTACATTCCATATCTTTGTGAATATTTCCTATCAATTGGTTCAAATATCAATGAAAAAGATATCCGTGGATGAACCATTCCTCTTAATGCAAAATTAAATTTTTTTTAGCGTCAATTATAGACTAGCACAAGATTAGTACTCATTGAGTACATTATCATATGAGTATGTAATGAATAAGAATATTATATAATATTTATTGGGGGGCGAACACACTTTTTTTCCAAGAACACACCTTTTTCCCGTACCTATATAATAGGCAAAATCGCAACCGAATTTTTAAATCTAGATTTTGATGATAAATTGTGATTTTTAGCTTAAATCGCGATTTTTTAAAAATCGCGAACAGAATTTTTTCGCGATTTATTAATAAATCGCGATTTGAACGATAAATTTCGATTTTTTTAAAAAATCGCGATTCGGGAAAAAATTGCGACTTTTTGAAAAATCGCGAACTTTCAAAAAAATCACGTCCTTAATTTTGGTCTTTTTCGGAGTGATAAGTCGTCCTTTAAGTAATATTTTTTTTTCTCGAATTGCTAATTGAAAAATTAAATTCGAGAAAAGAGATTACAATAGTATTGTATGGACTATAATCCTACTACTATAACACTTTTTTTGTGAAAATCACACTTTTTTAAAAAAAGGTATCAAATTGAAAAAAATTATTCTTATATTTACTTATACTGTAGGGCACATTCATTGGTTATGAAAATCACATAGTATGAATACTCAATCCCAAATATCTTAAAAAAATATTCTAAAATATTAGACTCGATTTTAGCAATTGTATTCTAATCATAATATAATGCCCGAGTATATTATATAAATAGAACAAATATTAGTAAATTCAATTTTTTTTTTCAGATCGCAAATTATCTAATACAAATATTCATAAAAATCACATACAGTATATTTGCATTCAATGTCAAATATAATAGCTATCTAATACTTTCGAAAAATTGAGCTTTTGAATATTTTATAAAATTTCTGGTCCAAAAATTGTGCTTTCACAATATTTTGATGATATCTATAATAATTAGACTACAAATATAAATTGTATAATAAAAAATCAAAATTTGCTTTTGATATCTCAAATCTCGATATGAGATATTCAATGTCAAATCAAAGTATTCATAATTAACAGATTTGTATCGTGAATGCTTTCGTTTTGCTTAATACACAATTATGCATGACAAGTGTGTGTGGCTACACAATTCTTTCCGTCCGAAGCGGAGAATTGTGAAGTTTACACCGCATTTCACGGATAATATAATGGAAAAACGATTTTCATGGAATACTATTTTTATTAATAGCTTAATAAATGAGCGAGTCTGATAGATATATGTTACGCAAGATATATCCATAGAGAAGTGTTTAAGTATAAAACAATGCGTTATACGTTATATGTAGGATATAGATGGTTTTTCTCCATTGAGAATTTTGTCATGTGAAAAATCTCTTTTTTAGCTATGATAAAAATACTTTTTATATACTATTATATCTCAGTTGATATTGATTCAACATTCTTATTTCACATGATAATATAATAGTATATGTAGCGAGGTATTATATTCTCTTGTGATTTCGATCTATTAATGCTCACACAAAAAATTCGCTACATCAAAATTTCCTCGGAAAATTTCACTTTTGCTGCTTTGATTCAACTTTGATGTCCAATGAATACTCAATAAAACTCGAAACTCTGATCATGGAGATCTATCATCACATATATAATTATATTGCTTAAATATGTGTATAAATTGTATTTTGGATTTTTCGGATTAAAAAAGGTTAAAAGTGTCATATTGATATAATTCACATTTTTGATTTCGTTACTTAGAAATGAGAATTGGTCAATAATTTATTATCCATTTGTAATTATAAAGTGTTTTAATGTATTGTGAGTTCATTTAATTAGGTTTAACTATAATATAAAAATAAATAATCACAATAATAAGTATTTAATTAAAAATGAGTATATTCAGAGATAATGCAGGTTCTTTTAGTTATTATTTAGGAGGTTTTATTTAGTTAACAACAAATTAAAATAAATATATTAAGGAATGCGTATCAACAATTTTAACATTAATGGAGGTAGATCAACAATATTAATAATGGGAGTGGGTCAATAATTCAAATACTGGAAATGGCTTAACAATGTTTATTATGGATATGGTTCAACAATGTTTATTATGGAGCTGGATCAACAATGCAATTAATGGAGGTAAATTAACAACGTCAATAATAGTAGTGGATAAGCAACTCAAATACTGGAAATGAATCAACAATGTTAGTGATGGAAGTGGATCAACAATGTAATTATTGGAAGTGTATCAATGTTAGTAATGATTGTCAAAATTCGTTTGAAATGTATTAACAAATAAGATGTCAAACCGCAAACCGTTGTCACATTTCAAACAAATTTTGACAATCATTACTAATATTGCTTTTATTACAATTATTTCAATAATATCCAATAATATCTTTCAGGTGAACAAAAATAAAATATCCAATCAACTCATATCATGTCAAACCGCAAACCGCCGTCACTTTTCAATCATTTTTGACATTAGCAAATATTAAAAAAATATTTTTATTATTTAATATTTTTTTATGTTGAATAAAAATTATATTAATATAAAAGATATTTTTTTACTCAATATAAGTTGGCGCTATCACTCTCTGAAGCTGAATCTGTGTAATTATATGCATCTGTTGTTTCATCCATGCTGTCTAAGTCAAGGAAATCCCATTTTTCTGCGCCTTTACGAAGTGGCCTCCTGTACAAGAGTTTGTTTGTCAAGCCAGCGCACATGCCAAATGTTTTGTGATAAAAAGTGAGATCATTATCAACATGTAAGGGCCACTTTCCTCCAATTACTCTCCAATATTGTTTGAGTCTGGAGAAGTAATTTTCCACAATTATTCTGCTGCTTGACAATTTTTTATTGAATGTCTTCTGCTCAGCAGTTAATTCGCTATTTTTTCTGCGCTTGTATGGAATTAATGCCCATGGAATAATTTGATGAATTCCTTGATAGCCAGAGTCTGCCAAAAGGACTGGTATTTGATCGATTTCTGCTTTCATCTTATCTGCTTCTGCTTTTAATTTGCTTATCAATGTGTTGGATTTCCTAAACAAATGAAAATCATGTCTCTTTCCTCTGATTGGTTTGGAATAATGTAAAAGAAATCCTTTTGGGCTTACAAAGCACTGAGTTTTGATGCAGCATATTTTATGTTTGCCTGAATAATATTTTTCTTGATTGGCACTTCTGGGTATCTCTTGAACTGTGGCATCAAGTGCTCCCAACATATAAGGATATTCTTTTGATTTTTCGCGATCATCCCATTTAATAAATGATCGCCATTTCACATATTCTCGGCCGATTTTAGAACCAATTGCATCGATCACATCAATGATAATTTGCCTTGTGTGTGTCTTTTTGATACCGAATTTATCGGCCAATTCTTCGAATCCAGGAGCGTGTTTAAGCCATGTTAATGTAATTAATAAACGTGCTTCCATTGAAACCCTAGTATTCTTATAATGATGTAATTCAATTGAAGGGATGAAAAGTCTTATAAGATCTCGAAAATCTTTGCACGTAAGATTTGTTAATTTAATTAATGTATTATTATCGTCATTGTGTAAAATTTCTTCTATTCTTATTTTAAGTGGTTCTTTTTGTTTTTTTGGAGGATCTGGAATTATTGGAGCGTCAGCAAAAGTGGCGATGTAATCGATTTCCCTTTGAGCAAAAAATGCTATTGGATCATCTGTATCTTGAAGTGGTTCAGGATTTGGTACGGGCGTGGTATTTTGATGTGTGGATCAATTTGTACGGGCGTGGTATTTTGATGTGGTGAAATACTCTGTGCAGGCGCAGTATTCTGATGTGATGAATGACTTTGTACAGGCGTAGTACTTGGAGCTTGGGTCCTCTGTGATGCTGATTGAGCAGCTCTTTGGCTTGAGGACGAATGACCTTTTTTCTTATTCATAAATGAAGTCAAATGCTCTTTCTTGAAAATTTGAATTATTTTACAATTTTTCTAAAGATATATAAAATTTCAATAGGCATACAATATTTCAATAGACATATATGATTTCAATAGACCTATAAGAATTCAATTAACATATATTATTTCAGTAAGGTGGAGATTTGTTCAACTCATGTTCAATATTATAAAATATATATCATTGTGAATATAACACCTATAAAATATAAAATTATCAGATGATTTTAAATTAAATTGTAAGCAAATAGTTCGATATTCTAGAATGAAATGGCTGCCGATGACTTCTTGATAATGATTTCGCCTGTGATAAATCGATAAAACGCCATCGAAGCCATCGATATGCACTAGTTCTGGATGTAAAGTGGAAAATTATAGTATAACTTATATTGCTGATGACTCGTAAATGGACAAAATATATTTTATTCGAATGGATGTTAGTTTTTATGATATTTCTATTATACTATATATGTCAAATCATTGTATAATATATATATAAGATAAATAGCCCGAATTTTTTTTTATAAAAAAGTGTTTTTTCAAATTTAATAATAAATATTTTATTCTGCTTATAAATCATATTGTCTTGTAATATTTGATAAAATTATCACTGAATTCTTAATTAGTTTTTTTAAAAATATCAATTTTGATTTATTGGACTTGAAAATATTTTATTTATATTATAAATCATATTATCATTTAGTGTTTATCAAAATTATGGTTCTTCGTTTTGTAGCTATATTTTGAATGACAATAGAAAAAAAAATACTAGAAACTAAATATGTATTTAATTTTATAAGTAAAAATTCACATAATGATAATATATTTGTGAAGTTTATTTGAAGAAACGATTTTTATTAATTCAATTTTCATTATAGCATTATTTAGGTGAAGTGCTCTCAAATTGTGAGCCAGACAAATGTTTAATGGCTGCAATAAAGGAACATAGCTCAGGTGCGTTTGCATTGAATATTTATCGTTTTGATTTCACAAAACATCGTTGCGTTTAATCAAAAATTTGATTAACTTAATAAATTTAAAGATTAAGCGATCTCATTTTAACACAATCGGTAAATTCAATACGTCTATGAAACAAAGCCATAATTTCTCGTAGTAAAATATTTGATAAAATTTTATCGCTTACAGAGGTGGAATTAAAGGGTGAGAGATATATAGATAGACTATATATCTCTCACCCTTTAATTCCCTATACAAAGTTCGAAAACTTGGGTGCAATCAGATCTGATTGCACCCAAGTTTTCGAACTTCATGTAAAGAATTGCTTGCTATGATGTACTGATCATGAATCAGTACATCATAGCAAGCAATTCTTCATCTTAAATATATTTTTCTTAATCAATACATAACTTGTTCGCAATTTGGTTTTAGACGCTATATTTTAATCTAATTTCGATTTTTTATAAAATCGCGTACTTCTAATAAAACGCGATTTCAAAAACAATCGCGATTATTTTCTGTTCGCAATTTTTCAGAAGTTCGCGATTTTATAAAAAATCGAAATTTTTCTTTGCGATCGAGATTTAAAAATTCGGTTGCGATTTTGCCTAATCTAAAAATCATTAAAATTTTCAATATATCAAAATCATTTTTTTTAAATTTCTACAAAAAAATACATTAAATTATTTCCTATTCATAACTTCTCTTATTGCTATCTTCGCCTCATTCGAATTGACAACTTCCAGGGCTGTATTTCCATCAGGACCTTTCTGTTCTACGTCAATTCCTTTGCAGGAAGTCAAAGCGATCACTACATCAGGCCATTGACCAACAGCTGCTTCGTAAAGTGGGTTTCCATCATTTGGATCTATTCCTGGTGTCTTTACCAAGATTTTCACGACATCAATGAAACCCATTTTACTTGCTATTGCCAATGCCGTTTTATTTTGTGCATCATGTTTGTTTAATTCAATACCTTGTTGTTGTACTAAACTTTGAACTGATTCAGGTCTATTTCTTTTACATGCCAAATGGAGAGGAGTCATTCCATCCTTATTGACAGCATTATAATCAATTCCAGGACAACTTACAACGAAAGTTATCGCTCTTGACAATGTTTGTGCTGCCAAATGAAGAGGAGTATTTCCTTGTTTGTTTTTACTGTTGTAATCAATCTGATTCGAGTTCTGCGACAAACTTTCAGCAATCGCCATAGTCTCTCTCGATGCTGCATAATGGAATGGAGTGTTTCCTTGTTTGTCTTTCGCATTTATGTCAAATTTTCCACTCAAAACTAAAAATCTGACAATACTTGACGGTGCAGATTTACATGCAGAATGTAAAGCCGTCAAACCATCGACATCTTTGTGATTTGTGTCACAGTTTGGAGAGTTCAAGAAAGCGCGGATGACATTGATGTAGCAGCCATCAATTGCGAAATAAAGGGGAGTTCGTTTTGAAGCATCAACTGAGTTTATATCGACACAGTTGTTGTCAATGATGTATTGGACGACATCTTGATGTCCGTTGAGTGCAGCCGCGTGGAGAATTGTTCTGGAGCCTTTGCGGAAGCTGCAGTCTGCGCCTTTCATGCCCATGATAACTTTGAGAGATCCTAAGTGGCCGTTTTCGGCGGCTTGGAATAATGCGGTCGTTCCTTTCGAAATTCCGGGGGCTTCGATGCCGGGTATTGATGCGAGAAGCTTAAGAACACCAACATGGCCTTCGTCGGCTGCAATCATGATCATTCCGGAGGCATTCCATTTCGTTGGGGTCGCACCGTTCTTTAGAACGAACAACATGGACACTACATTGTTTGTACGTGCGCATTTGTTGAAAATGCCGTCAATGGTAAGGGCTTCGTCGTTGGAAAGAGCTTCGTATTCTTGATCTGCGACTCCGAAGGGAGTTTGCTTGTAAATTTGCTCGAATAATTCGTAACGACGGAATCTGGCGGCGATTTTGATTGATCTGAGTAAAGAAAGGCCTTTGTCTTTGAGAATTTGGAGAACTTCTGGATTTGCACCGGCAACTGCGTATTTTTCGGTATTCTTGAGAGAGGCACCACGCTTAATTAACTCTTTGACACAGTTGATGGCTCCGTAGAAGCAGGCAAGTTGAATTAAATTCGGAGTACGCTCGTAGATGAATCTTGGCTGGAAGAAGAGGTTAGGGAACTTCTGATTGATGTTTAGATCAGGTCCCCACAACGATGGATCGTCACGATGTATAGCATAAAATGGAGAATCTTTTGTACAGCCAACATCTGTGAAATCATGCATTTTCTCCCACCCATCGGCACAGAGAAGATCTAATGTATCGATAAATTCTTCAAGAGGATTGTTGTGGCGATTTGTTTTTTGAGATAATAAAGTAAATAAAGGAGGATCGAAAGCTTCCAATTCTGCACCGAAGAAGAAGTATAGAAGTGAGTTTTCTGCTGTTTCGAAGATGCAATCTGATAAAATATTGCAAATTTTCTCCGCGATTTCATTTATCGTCAAAACTTTAGCCATAAGACAGTTTCTGATGAAGCAGAGCGCTTCCTCTTTCCTATGGAGTAATGCTTTGCCGTATGGTCTGAACGCTGCCTTTAAGATAATTGGCTTTAAGTGCTCTAATGCGTTGTCTGGTGCTGCATTCTTGTTTAATTCTCCGAAAAGACGCGCGTGAAGTCTTTGGTTTGTCGAACGGATTTCAAATACGTCCATAAGTTCGTGAACAAAGAAGTATACACCATCAATTGTTTTGATATAAGGGAGTTTCATGATGTTTTCAACAGTTGAATTGAAGTTTTCTTCATTCATACTAGAAAGGAGTCTTTGGAGCTCTGCAAGCTTATACGCTTCCTCAAGCGCTTCTTTAGAAAATCCACTTTCCATTCAAATGAGATAAATAAAATTTACATGTATCGTCAAATTTCATCTCAATTTTTATTTTTTGAATTCGTCGTTTTCTGTTTATAACATGTAAGCAAATTGGCAACGTAAGTACTTCTGTACTAACATCGAATAGAGTCATTTTCCAATGATGCGCGTAAATTCTCCAAATTCTCCAAATCTCAACATCAAATTTACTTACCAAATCATATTTAGATTGTCAAACGTGTACACATTCAGTTTATTATCAACACATTACGCTATTTTTTTGAGAATTTTGAAGTCTTTTCTTGGAACTGTCCTACTCCTCAGAAATTTCAAAAGTTTACATTTTTTTATTGAAATTTCCTTTGTAGGCCAATTTATTTAAAATTGATATATTTTCAATCAATTTTATTCTCCTTATGATGTGAAGAAGCTTAGAAAAATTACTTGAGAATTAATTTTATTTGAAAATTGCATGAAAATGTGGATAAAACAAGATTTAAAGATTTTATGGCTGAGCATTATATTCAACTATTTCATCTGAATCAATAGACACTGTTTCACCAGAATCAGACGCACTTGGCCAATCTTCGGGTTCTTCTCCAATTTCTTCCATTTCTTGCTTTTCTTTTTCACCACATGGAATTAATAGAATGATAATGATTAAGACAATCAATAGAACTATCATTACAATTACTGAAACAACCACAATAATGATCCATTTCCTTTCAACTTCTATAAGGAACAAATTAACTGAACCATCTTGCGCTTTAGAGAAATCAATCTTCAATAAAGCATTGGAAATTTTTGATTTCTTGCCATTCTTATCAACTAAGTAAATATCAAATGTATACTCACCATCACTGAAATTGCTTGGTATTTCAAACGAGTAGTTATATTCTGTCCAGTATTTAGATGTTTCTAATATAATGTAAGGTTCATTGTTATCTGTTTTACTAGAGTTATTATTATAAATTGCTATGTAAACTTTTGAAGAATCATCTGTGTTATTATCTCTGATCCTATAAGTAATTATAACTGTTTCATTTTGAACGAAGACAGATTTTTCAATTTTTTCTTTGTTCACAATTTCAACTTCTGGTGGATAATTCATGACATCAAGCTTGACAGGGAATGTTGAACTTTGCCCATAAGTATCATTTAAAACTGCAATAATCGGGAATTCCCCATCAGATGTAAATTCTGGAATTGAAAAGTTGAATACCGAATCTTTTTCATTGCATGAAGATTTCATATCAGTATCTAAAAGACATTCGTGAACAATTGGACCAATTACTGTTCCGTTTGGAAGTTGGAGCGAAATACTGATATTGTTATCTCCTTCAGTGTCTTTTATTTTGAAAGAGGTTGAAACATTATCACCTGGTTTAATATCTTCTCGATCTTTTCCTTGATAAATTATCTCAGGTGGTGTTAAAATATAAACTGATGAAGAAACCGGATTTGATGATAGATTATATGAATCTATGGCAATAATCTCAAGTTCTGCATTTCCGAATTTAGAATCATTTGGAATTACAATGTTAAGAGAATGATCTTGGAATTCTTCCTTCATTATGAAGTTTTCTGGCTATGCTTGTTATTTCTTTATTTTCATATTTGATGTTGACAATTGATGAATCACCCTCATCTTCATCTTTGATCTTGAAGGAAAATTCTAATTGCCTTCCTTTAACATGTTTTCCTTTAATTGGATATATTACAACTTCAGGTTTTGCTCTAATAAAGAATATAAAAGAGTGTTTGTTGGAATCAAAATTGTATTTATCTGTTACATAAATGTCCAATGATTTTTCGCCTGTTGTTATGTCTGAAATCTGAACTTGGATTGAGAATGAGATGTTTTCGGATGTTCTATTTAATTTACTTTCATATTCTTTATTATCTATATGGAATGTGAATGAATCATCTGGATCAATATCTGCAATGTATCCTGAAATCGTCAAACTATCTCCTTTGGCAATAGATGGAACTTCAGAGGAAATGTACAGCTGTGGGACATTTCTAATAGTAACATTAACAAATTCCTTCAATGACTCAAGTGAATGACTATCAGTTGCAACCAATTCAATTTGAAGGACTCCACTGTATTTACTTGGAAGATGAACTTCAACTTGAGTTGTTTCAATTTTAGACTCAGAAACGATTGGAATACTTGGTGTAATGTCAACATAATTTTCCATTCCTTCATATTTGTACTTTAGATTAACAATTTCATTGGAATCTAGATCTTCAATAGACATACTAATCATTGCATTATCATTCGGTTTATATGTTTCTTCCGGATTTGTTGCTTATAATTTTGGTCTGAAGTAGAGGGGCAAGTTCATTGTACAACCTTCTGCCTTAATTCCGGAAATATCTGATGCCGAAATAGAAATAGTCATTTGCCCGATAACTGCATCATCAGGAATTTTTATTGACAATTCAAATTGTGTTTCGGTTCCTTTTACAGTGGCTTGCGTGCTGCTGTTTGTCGAATCTCCGAATTGAGCTGTGACAGTAATTGTATCAGTATCATCCTCATCAGTAACATTAATTGTCAAGACAATTGTTTCACCTCTGAGATAATATTCCTTATCTGCAGATTTAGAAACAATTTTTGGTCTATTTTTCAATGGAATTTGGATTGATTTATTGGAATAGAATTCATATGAATCAATTACACCTAGAATAATTTCAAAAGATGGCTCAGTATATCCTTCTGGGATATTAAATGGCCCAAATTCTATTCTGGTTGAAGTAGTTGAGATAGTAACTTCGTTTTGCTTAGTGAATACATCATATGTGTCATCATAAGTTCCATACTTGATAACATCTCCATTATCATAATCTGTGATAATACATGTAACAGTTACGGCATCTCCTGCTTTGTAAACATCTTTATCATTTCTACATTCTCCAAATTGGGGGAGTTGATCTTACTCTAAATGTTACAGGATGCTTTTCAGAAGTAAGACCATCCAAATCTTCACCAAAAAGATAGACAGTTATGCTACCAACTTGCTGTTCTTTTGGAATAGGAAGACTAATGCTGAATATTTCACCACTATTAATTGCTTCTGACGTTGAATTTCCTATTTCAGAAATGAGGTGTATTTTTCCTAGGTCATTATCCTCATCGGAATAAATTCCCTTGAATATGACAACGTTGCCACCCGTGTAGTCAAATTTTTCGAGTTCATCAACAGTAATAGTAGGCTTGTGCTTAATATTAACAGTAAGTCTTTTTTCATCACTGAGCGAATAATTGTCAACTGCTTTTACAAAGATGGTAGTTTCTCCTGGTGGATAATCAAATGGAATAGAAACATTGAATTCTTTGGCAACATCCACTCTGTAAGTAAGTACATATTGATAATCATTTGAGCCTAACTTATAAGATATATTAATCTCATCATTTGGTAAATCTTCATCAGATATATCAAAAGTGACTTGATATGTTTTTCCAGGAACAAGATCTGTTTCTAAAATATGAGGAGTTATGGTTGGATTTTTATGGATCAAAAGCACTATTGTTTGGTTACTTGTTCTACCAAAAGAATCTGTGGCAAAGATGGTCAAATTAAGAGGTCCAGCTCTAGCATTTGGAATCTTGAATGTTTCAAGATAATCACTAAATGAATGTCCATTATTTGGATATGTTATTTGCTGAAGGAATGTTGGATTTGAACTATCTTCACCAAATGAAAATGAAATATTTGCATAATCTTCATCATCATTATCTGTTAAATCAATGTACAGATGTATATCATCTCCAACTTGATAAAAATCAGATTGCCTTGAAATAATGATTACTGGCTTATTTACAATTTTGATATCCGTTTGAATGATATTTGATTCAATGTGGAAACTATCACTTACTTTGATAAAGACTTCATTGATTCCAGGTTTCAAGAGGGAATTGTCCACTTTTATCTTGAGAATAGTTTCTTTTGAAACATTAGCAGATATAGTATCAGGGAGTTGATGAAAATCAGAAGTTTTACCAATTTTGTAAGAAATTCTGAAATCGTCATTATCATCTTCGTCATTACAAGTAAATAAGATAATAATTTCATCATCAATTAAATATGAATCCATCCTAATTGGATTTGAAATATTTGGTTTAGCCCTTACTTGAATTGTACCGGATTTATTTTCAGACCATATCACATCTGCCACAGAAACGTTATAATTAATTATATAATCTCCAATAGGTGCATTTTCGGGAATTTGAATTTTAACAATAAATGGATCTCTATTAGTTTCGTGTACAACTTCTTTGACATCGTTAACATAAACGTTGTAATATGTATCCTCATCTTCATCATTTAAAAATTTAAATTTAAGAGATGCCTCCTCTCCTGGGAAATAGAACTCTTTATTACCTTCGATGTATTCAATATGCATTCGGTTTCTTATGAAAAAATCAAACCTTCCTTTCGTGAATTTTTTTGAATCATATTCATCAGATTCACGAAATGTTAATTCTGCTGTGTAATTCCCAACTTCTATTGATGAAGTCGGTATGTCCTTTTCCTCAGGATATTTTAATGTTTTTCTATCATTTTTCCCAATAGAGGTTGATTCCAATGAGATATCTTCTATAGTTTCTCCACCTATTTCAATTGGTTCTTCGTTTTTAAGAATTGTAAGATACCAATATGGGACTGGATTCGCATTGTAATCATATACATTTGCAACTATTGACAGGTTGGTACCCGGAGTATAAAAATAAGGTTCAGCTGATAAACTGTCAATTTCTAATGGTAGCATTGCCATATAAAACGTTGAAATATTACAAGCATATGTAGAATTTTGGAATTCAATTTTGATATCAGTTTTTCCTAATATTTTTCTGAACTTGAGCAAATTAAGTCTAACATAATTGTGTGTTTGATTATACTTTAATGAAAGTTTTCCCATGTCGGTACCATTGGCCCAATAATTAACACTGTATTCAAATTCTTTCTCTTGGCTATTATCTAAAGTAATATGAAAATAATCATGCTTGGAAAATTTCTGATTGACAGCCTATGCTACACGAATATGCGGGCAAATTTCTTCCATAACGTCAGACAAAAAGAGCCTCAGCATATATCTTTATAAAATCTTATTAATTTTGAATTAAAAAAATTGAGAACGAACAAAAAAGTTCAATGCATGTTTATATTATAATTAACAGGATCTATTAAAGGATCGTGGTGTTATTTTTTCTCCGGTTAATTATCGGATATAAAAAAGAAAATTTATCACATTCAGCAACTGTAAATCAAAATGCAGTTAATATTTAATCGAATTAAAAAAAAAAAAAAAAAAAAAAAGGTAGTGGGGCTTCCAGGCACTTCGTGCCTTCTAGCCCTGAAGATGTTTAGTATAAATGAAGTTTTTATTCGGAAAATTGTTAGTCTTCTGGTGTGAATTCGGAGGACTCTTCTTGGATAGAGTTTTGTATTTCCTCCTCCTCTTCTTCTTCCTCCATTGCTTCTGGGAAGAAGCCTTCTTCTGGGTCGAAAACATTATATAATGTGTAATTGAATGACACATTATATCTTTCTTTGAGTTCGCTCCTGACAAAGAACTTAGTTCCAGGAATACAGAAGACTTCTGTGCGTTGGAAAAGCTGATGTCCTGGAACGAATTTGGCAATTAGAGACTTCTTTTTTCCGAATTGTTCAGGAGTTTCCATGACGACAGTAACAACATCTCCATCTGCGAGGTCTTGTTGTTGTTCGGAAAGGTAAAGAGCAATGATATGAATGGTTGCTGCGTTGAATTCGAGAAAGTCGAATTCAAATTGTGTTGTCGTATAACATTCAAACCATTTTGTACAGTTGTCTCCGAACTCGTCAACGTATTCATCTTCGTCATATCCGTAACTAAAGACTTGGAATTCAGCAATTCTCTTGTCGAATGACCGTTGCATGTAACGAGGAAGATTTTGACGAACTTGGTATAAAGTTCTCAACATTATAAGCTTAGTAAATGTTGGAAAATACTGAACTAAGACATCGCTAAGCTCAATTGGATTTGGAATTGTCTTAGTAAGTTCAATTGAACTAGTAATTGCTTTGTTCAGAACTTCACAGAACTGAGTATTGTATGTAGCGTCTGGTTGTGTGTTTTCTTCGGCTTCTTTGAGATATTTAGAGCAAATTTGTTGAAGAATTTCTCTTAATTCGTTGTTAGATTTTTTGGTGGTTATTCTAACCGCTGTGCCGGTTCTTGGAGGTTGTGGGGCTTTGGCTTTGGTTAGCGGTTGAGAATTGTGGTTAACAGCGTTGGCTTCCATTAGCCAAAAAATGAACTGACCAGAAGTTTGTGGAAAATGAATATTGAATAAAAACGGTTTTTACCAACGGAGACCCCCTCTATTTTTTTATTTTATTTAATAGTTACCGTTGGCAAACCGTTCCATCTCAAATATTGAATGAACTATAAACGTTTTTTGTTTTCTATATATACTTTTTTGTCCAACGGTAAAACTTTTTACACAACGGTTTTTGAGAGTCGTCGCTGTTGACTTTTTTGTAGAGCACTCAAAATAGTATAACTTTGTCCGGACAAGTAAGGGTCTATCGTCGCTACAGGAAAAGTTACAGGCGTTCCAAGGAAGTATACTTTGAGAAGCCTTTTCTCCTTATAGAATGAGATAGGACGGTTATTTTACAAAAATGACAACACTTTGACCGAGTAGTTTTTTGTGCTGAACAAAAAGTATCATATAAACATCTGTCAAAAACCGTTTTTTACTTCACTTAAAATGCCACGTAAGCTACGTAAGAATATACGTAAGAGGAAGGGAGCATTGAAACATCCAATAGTAAAACTGACACCACAACAACAGTTGCAACAACAAATGATGAATGACCCCACTATGTTGCAACAAATGTCAAGCAACCCTATGCTTTTAAACCGAGTTATTGGTGCACAGAGTGGAGGTTTAAGAGCGGCACTTTTAGCGAAAATGGCAGGCTATGGTGGAGCTGCAGACGGAACAGCTTATAACCCTCAAAGTCAAATGAATTTGAGTTCACTCAAAAATCAAATAACAGATGTCAAAAAGTCAAACATAGACATACAGAAACAAATAAGTGAAAACGAAAAGAAACTAGAATATGACAGACACACAAAGAAACTAAATGAGTTAAACGTAGAGAAAAAGAAGAAAGAAGAACAACTGAAAGAACTAAGTACAGAGGAATATGCGAAAAAAGTGTCAGAAAAAGCAGCAGAAGTAGCAAAAATGGAACAAGATGTTATAAATTTGAAAAACCATACTACTCAATATAAAGTACTGAAAGATGAAGAAATAAAACAAAAAGCCCTGAAGACATATATGGATAGCGATGAGTATAAAAAAGAAGTTGAAGCAAATGTAAAGGCAGAAAAACTTTTACAGTTGCAAAACCAAACCATACAGTATGAAAACTTAGCACAAGAAAGTAAAAATAACGACGCAGCCATGCAAAAGGCAATGAAAAGCGCAGAATATATAAAAGCTAATAATGACTGGTTAGATGCCCAAGCCAACGCTAAAGCAGCCCAACTTATAGGGTCAATAAGGACAAAAATACAAGCGGATGAAGACAGTTCAAATGAAGCTTTAATGAATGCTGACTTTAAGAACGCCTTCGAAGCTCTTCATAGTAAGGTGAAACTAGTGAACGACTTCTCATCTGGAAAGAAACTGAAGTCTGAAGGTTTCGACAAAGAGTTAAGAGAAGTAGCACAAAATATGACGAAAATAACAGATGCAGCAACGAGACAGGCAGTTCAAAGTGCCTATGACGCCGTTAGAGCAACTGTTGTGGAAAGTCAAGAAAAAGAGTTACAACAGACCAAAACAGACCTAGTAAATGCTTTCTTAAAAACGAAAAGTCAGGTAGGACATTATGCTGCAGATGGAACATATGTGCCAGCTGGTGGAACTTATATACTAGCTAGTGGAACTTATATACCACCAAACCCTCCAAGAGAAGCACCTGCACCAGGACTACCTAAAACATTTACATCGTCACATGGACACAGACACAGGCATGCACCAAAACCAACACAACAACCAACACAACAACCAACAGTTCAAAACACTGCACCACAACCAACAGTTCAAAACACTGCACCACAACCAACAGTTCAAAACACTGCACCACAACCAACAGTTCAAAACACTGCACAGCAACAACCACAAACAGAGCAAGGACATAAAAGAAGTAGAGAACAAGGAAACCAAGAATTCTTAAAAATGCTTAAGGAAAATTATGGTTACCCAGATACTCTTGACTTTAGTGACAGATATAAAGAAGCTATTAGAAAGTTCAAGGAAGGAAATACTGACCCGAACCTATTTAGCTTTATGGCTCAGCACCAAATGGGATATAATTTCAAACCTGGAAAATACAAGCTCGCTAAGGGATATGATTTAATAGCATATCATCCAAATGACATGGATGAATTTACTCCGAGATATTTGGTGTCAGAGATAAATGATAATTCAACTATCTTCATGAAACGCGTAAAAAATAGAGACGGAACGAAAGAAGAAAGGGTTATGAATGCGGATGGCTTAAATAGGGAACTTGTTAAAAACGGTCTCGGAATATATGAAATGCCAGCAGATGAGGTACAAGAAACTCCACAGGAAGAAGTTCAGATACAACCAGACATGGAAGAAATAGTTCAGCAACAACAGCTAGAAGAGCCTGAAGGAAACGAACAAGTCCCTCCTTTGGAAACTAACTTCACAGAACTAGATGAAGATTTGGAACAGCCGAAAAATCTTGACCCTCAACAAGAGTATGCGGAGAATATGGAATCTTTCCAAGAGTCTAAGAAAAATTCAGCTGACATAGTAGAAGAATATCGAAAAATGTTCGCCGACATACAAAAGACTCCAACATCAGATGAAAATATTCAGCATAGAATGGAAGAACTGAAAGAAAGTGTACGCAAATACAACAATCCTTTTTACTTACGACCATATAACGTTCAATCTTTGGCTGAACTCGGTGAAAATAAAAGGTTAAATTTCACCAAAACATATAGAAATGAAACATTGTTTAAAGTTCATTCAGAACCTAACCAATATGGAAACAAACCTACTTTTGTTTCTGCAGACTATGGAACTACAATGAGATGGGGTCATAAAGCTAATCCGGATAGGTGGTTCATAAACTTACAACCACAATTCCAAGAAGTTGTAGACGCAATGGAAGTGAATGGTGAACCAGATATAGCTGGTATTTTCAGCGCGGCTTTAATGCCATTGAAAGATATGAAACATGCAGATATTTTGGACCAGTATGAAATGAACATGGCTGATGGAAATATAACACCTGACGTTCTAGAACATTTATCTCAAAGAACTACACAGAACCATAAAGATGGTATATTTGGTGAAGAGTTTAGAAAGAAAGTTAGGGAGAGAGAAGGAAGAGAACCTATTGTACATGACCTTGCAAACGAAAGTTTACAAAATGTCATAAAAACTTACTTTGCAGACAATGAACCGAGAAGGGATGAATATTTAAGAAAACTCAAATGGACAGTACCAAATGAAATGTTAGTATTGAAAAACATGTTCCTTGACAAAATAAAACCAACTACAGAAATAAATGACGCAAGACTGAAACATTGGGTAAAAGCTTTCCCATTCACAAAAGATATTGTTGGTAACATGGAAAGAAAACCAGAATGGCTACAAAACATATATTTGGAAACGAGCTTATTCCATATGGACAAGCTCTGTTTGAAGAGCTTGAACCGGAAACTCAGGAAAGAGTCATGCAAACAATACGCGAAGACTCAAATACAAACTATGACAAAATCTTTCTAGGATATAGGTTACCTGAGATGGGCGACCAGAGCCCAAAGGCAAAAAGGACATGGGAAATTTACAACATACTAGGTGAACATGAGGCAAAGATGCAACAACTTGAAGCAGAGGGCAAGTTACCAAAAGCGACACCAAAGAAGAAGAGTAGAACAAAGTGAAAGTAGTGAAGAAGTAACTTCATCTAGTGAAAGTAGTGGCAATGAAGGAAAAGGAAGAGTTAAAAACTCAGTCAGGAAGAAAGTAAAGCTTGGTCCGAGTGGGTTCTATTATGATATATAAATCCAACTATTCTATATTTTTACCCATATGAAATGTACGCCGCTCAGAATATAACGCCAACAGTTTTGGATGCCATGAACGGAAATGTTTCCGAATGGTATAACGAATGCGACAATGCCATTAGAAGGTCAGAAATAGTTCCTGGAACTTACGAATATACAACTGCTGTTTCTTATGGAACGTAGGTGAGTTTGGAGAAGGTTCTTCAACAACAGTAGATATTGCTTGCGACAGGTTTCATATTATTTCTATTGACAACTCATTCTTATACGTGGAACAAGACATTGAAATAAAACCTTCTGCCAAGTTGTCTGACAAGAAAGGTTGCAATGGAATTTTCTATGTCGGATACCAATATGCTCCAGAAGTTTTCATGGGATATAAGATATATTCTAACTCTGACTTAGTTCAAACAGTAACATGGGCAAACTATGAATGGTTCGCTTTAAGAAACTCAGTACAACCACAAGCTAGAGAACAAACAGACCAGTATGCAAATATTGAAAAAATAAGAAGACTTGACCCTAACGTTCCAGGAGTTTATGTTAACCTTTCTGGTTCAGATGGAAATGCTGCCACTAAAGTAAAACTGAAACTTAGAGTTCCTTTGTCATCTTTCCTCATTTCAGGTTTTTAAGATACTTGCCAAACTGGGCAGGAAAAATTTCTATCGAACTTACTCCAAGCAAAATAACTTAGTCATTGCACAACACAAGACCATTCACTATTACAGACGTAAAGGGAATAAATAAAACATCATTCGCCGAATTTTGCAAAGGCAAGGTTGACTTAGACTTTGGTTTCTCAAACCTCAACACTGAAGTAAACTATATTAATGCTGCTGGAGATGCTTGGGACCCAGTTAAGTTCACATGCGAAAAATTTGAATGCAAGAGAATAGAAAGCAGACTTGCAGTCTATATGTTGGACCCAGATATTTCAAATGCTTTAGCTGCCAAATATATTGCAGTTCCACTTATGTTCCTATACACCAAATATCTGTCAAAGACTTTGCAGGTGAAGTTGGAAACCAAAGTGCTGACCCAGGTGCAAGAACAGATATTGCTTTAACAACTGCAATGAAACATGCAGATACTATGTTTGTACTGTTCAGACGAACTATAAATGACTATTCTTGTTTCTACAACCCTGGTATTAAATATCATATAAACATAGATGGCAAATATTATCCAAGAGAAGAATATTCTACAGTTGAGGATATGAGGTCATACAACTTGACATTAGATGCTATGAACTTTAACAACAACTTCACAACAACCATTAACCCTGAAATGCAAAGTTCTATTATGCCATATGTGAAAGTATGGACTCATACAGGAGGTCAAAAAACTCAATATACAAAGGAGACCGTTCAAACTTTTGGCTTGGCATTCCATTTGCTGACTCAGAAGACTTTATGGGTGGTATTTCAACACTGTTGGTACTGTACAAATACAATATACTGGTGACAGAGACGGTCCAGATGAATTGAGAGCAAAGAAGTTTACAAAACCAATAGCACTTTTCACGGAAGATGCTCTTTTGAAGATTCGTTCGATGAAACCTGCTGGGGCTCCTCAGATTGGCATAACGACAGCTTCCATCGAGCAGATTTTGGCAGCAGGTCAGTAAGTTGTTCTTGAACTGACTTCTCTCGTCAAATATTGACAGTACGCCAGTTTTACATAATATTGTAAGATAAACTTACCTTTAGAAATATCTGTAAGTTTTGTTGTTATATTTTGTCAACGTCAAGAACTTTCACCATTTCAGTTATACCAACTTTCTTTGCTTTATGAAAATATTTAGGTTCAGCAAAGACTGCTATTCTATAACATTTACCATTGTTTGTATAAAGAACTATTCTGTCAATGTATTTGTATTGTTTGTGTGTGTAAACTTTGTTCTGCTTCAATTCGAAGAGATACTCGAATACGTCCATCTTTTTATTCTAAGTAAAATGTCATTTCCGAAAAATAGAAGCGTGAGTGTTTCAAAAGGTTTAATGGCGGTGGCAGATGTGAAGTTAAATTCACCAACTCAAACAAACAGTCAAAGTGTTGTTGTCAATGTCAAAGACAGAGATGTTGAAGTGGGGAAACCATACGAAGACGAAGATGGTATAACAATTGTTCCTGTAAAAGAACCAACATATCCTGAAGTTAGCAGAGACTTAAGTTCTGTTGCAGATATTCGAAATGACTACCAACAACTGAAAGACAAACTTCAAACTCAGGAGAAGATTTGTCAAGCTTTAAGTATAATGTTAAACTTGGTCGAACACAACCCTGTAAAAGTGAACTCATATGTCATTGCACCTCATGAAGTTTTGAAAGAACTATTGAAACTTTTGACAGAGGCAGACGATATAAACATCAAAGAAATAGAACCCGACATTAGTTGCTGTGGTGTTTCATATAATGTCATTGACAAGATATACGTTATGAAAGGAGGTGAAACGTTGAACTTAAAGTATAGTTTCCCAGACGTCATAAAAATATTTGACGACCACAACATTTCATTAAAATTTATTTGCTAAGTAAAAAGTCAAAACTTCTTGAAAGATGTTTGAAGAAAATAATATAGACTTTATTTCATGTAAAGGACTTTACACACTTTTGAACGATATGAAAGACCCTGTTTGTTTGTTCGTGTAGACAAAGGAAAGTTCTATGTCTTTACAAAATATTTGAACTTCTTAGACAGAGAACTTCAAGAAACGCCATGTGAAAGTTTAGATGAAGTTCTTCTCCACTTTCAGAAAAACTTTTAAATAATATAAATGGCAGAAGACATAATGTTTATACTATTACGACTAAAAACCCTGAGTCATATAATTCTATAACAACAAACTTACAAAGTCCTCAAGGACGGTATTGTAAACTAACTTTAAACACAATGACGACTAAAGCCTGTTTTGCTCTTTTGACACCAGAAGACTTCATTGTTGTGAATGGTAAAAAATACTCCTTTGAAGATACTTACTCAGATATACCACCAACGGGTTTTGTTGACTTATTTAATACTTTAAGTACGGGTGTAACATGTGCTGCAACTAGAGCAGGTTTCATTATGTTTGGATGTCCGACTGAGTTTACTATAAAACAATATGAGCTATAATACAAACTT